TCTTCCACTAGGGTGTCGAGCACCGCACTGCCCTCTGAATACTCTTTTCCATAGATTGCCACCACCTTTTGCTCCAGCTCGGTGAGAGGTGTGGTGGTGATCTCCTTATTCCCTGTTGCTGCCCGATCCTTCCGGTTCCCAGCAGCTTTTGCTGTAGCCTTCGACTTGATATCTCGCCAGCTCTGTGCAGTTACAAACACTTATGAATTCTTAATACAAACCGACTAAGGGTCATATATTGTAAGGTACACTAATATAAAAACACTTACCACTTGCCACTGCTCTACCTCTTTCCTCCCGCCCAACTTATTTAGGATCCCAGCAAGCTCCTCCCACATCTCCTCCCTTGTCCGGGTCCCATCATAGCCCATTTGGGCTCCCCGGGCAAACTTTGGGTGCTCACACATGTATCGCACCATTTCCTTGGTTTGAACAGCATTGATTCTGCTGCAGCGAGTCCTGTTGATTTACAGAGATATTCATTAGATTCTAAGAAACAATGACGCACTTTCCCTTTTTCTCATATTTTTAATAGATTCCTACTTTACAGCATCATTTTTTAATGGAGAGATAGTTAATATCATAATCCAAACTGATACAATTGGTGCACTTTGCACTCTGTTCAAAAACAATATTTCTACTCACTAAGCGGACAATTTTTGTACCTGCTAGATGCAGTTTTGTGCACATCAAAATCCAAAGACAAAATTGTATCTTAACAGAGAAAAATAGTATTTACAGAGACAGGAGCCAAATTGTCTTTGAATTCACATGTGCACACAACCTACAAAATTGTGGGCATTTAGTGTGTAGCTGCTGACAAAATATAGGAGCTACTTACTTTTTAGATGATTCAGCAGACATTTTTCACTTCAAAATACACCAAAGAAAAATAAAGACAATAAACCTAACACACTTCTCTACGGGCACTTCTCACGAACAACGACTTCTCTCCAACACAAACAGAGCAGACGCCTCAACAAGTTCAAACCTGCCCAACCGCATTCGTCATCACCATTCCTGATCACTCCCGCATGTCTCGTTTGCTGATTGGCCCAGCCGTCATAGCCTCACGCGGGGAGGCACGCAGTCGCTACCGACGAGCTGACGTCACGGATCTCTCGGTTGCAGTATCGATCCTCGGTAAAGCACGAGTACAGAATAGAGGTCCTCCAATGCTGACGTCACGAAGCTCACTGAGTGGCAAAACCGCGCGAGAATTCGAATGCGAAGACGGCGGTGGGTCAGGATTTATTCGGGTATGCGAACACGTAGGTGGCTGACTGAGTTTCAAGACTCATTATCACGACTCAAAATATATTTTCTGTAACCAAAGTCTGCGATTTATGCGTCCATTTCTTAAGACATTGTCAAACACCGGCCCCGGCGCCGACTCCAGATTCAAACTCGCGCGCTCCCTGCCACTCAGTGAGGAAAGTGAGGATGGCCCGGTATCGCCTCTATGTTTTAAATCCGACGACAACTCTTCTACCACTGTTCGTAGAATTCCTCTTAAGGAATTTTGAACATCAAACAACGCTCTTTAAATGAATTTCCAACGAAATAGCGAAAATTAAAGTGGGATTGGTTTTTGGCCGAGGAAGGCGGCGTGAGTGTCACGTGACCAATGGAGGATCTCTATGGCAGATTCGATAGTGGTCGGTAACGCAACCGATGTGCCTCGATAACTTACCGATACCGAGAGATGTCGCTAGTGTGTACAGAATTCCAGTCCCCCGGACGGCAGGGCAAATATTGAAATACCGAGGAGCGGCCACGGCGCTACTACACTATGCCGGCCCGTGCCTTGCCGGCCCGTGCACCGCGGCAGGGCGGCGGGGCGGCAGGGGAGGACGCTCAAAGACAAAGTGCCAACTCGCCTGGAATGTGTCCCGTCCGTTTTTCAGGGTTATTTTCCCTCCCGATGTTGTCGTTTTTCCCTCTGCCTGGCTGCCTGGCTGCCGCCTTTCTTTGACGGTGTGCTTCCCTCCTGCTCGTACTCGAGATAGCAGCCCGGCGCGCCATCGCCAACGAGCCGCGAGCGGGGCGCGCGGGGGGCGCTGTATGTAGTGTAGTGGCAGTACTTGTCGCGGGTTAACTCGCCGGCGCGAGGATCGCCGTAATACTACCAACCGCGAAGCCGCGAACAAGACTCGGGAGGTGGAATAGAAAAGTTGCCGCTTGCTTCTCTCTCGCGCGCGCCGCGGCTACGCGGCGCCGGCGCCACGTCGGGCCAAAAGCACCATTTTCGAGCCCCCCCCCCCCCTTTCCCCCGCCTGCTTTGTCCCGCTGTTTTATCGCCGTGCCGTGTACGATGAAACGCAGGGGAGTGGCAAGGCGGCAAGGGGTCGGGGGATGGCCGAGGGTTTACGGTGCGGTGTGCGTGCGAGTGAGGGGAGGAGGGGAGGGCGGGGCTACAAAAACTCAATTCCCGCTCTCGGGTTCAAATACCGCCTTGCACGCCTTTACCTAAACTGCACAGGGTAGGCCGGCCGGTCGCCCCGCCCCGCGCCCTTGGTTTGCCTGTACGTGTTTGGGGGCTGCGGGGCTGCGGGGCCTGGCGGCGGAATCAAACCAACCAACCGACCAACCGGTTGCGCGACACGCATCACGCGTGCTCGTCACGGCCGGCATTCCGAACGACACGCTTCGTCGCGCTCTCTCTCCCTCTCTCGCACCCTTACGGGACGCCCCGTGAGCGCGAGAGGGACGGAGCGACGAAAGGCACTGCGTTCTAAATCAGTCAGCTGCCGCTGCCTCCTGACGATGTGTGTTTCTCCGCAGAGCCCGTCGTTGTGCGGAATGAAATCGGCACTCGATCGCTATTTTTGGCCATCATGATGTGCGGCCCTCTCTCTCTCACTCTCCTTCTCCGCGGCCGCGGGGCGCAAATTGTTTCGGCGGCGAAAGTGACTCCAGTGACGCGCTCCCCGCGCCGCGGCCTCTCCGCGGCCTCTCCGCGTCGCCGCGCCTCTCCCAACAGGAAAGCCATCCGCGGGAGTAAAACGGGCGCGTCATCCCTGTCCCACGCCGTTTCGCTTTCTCCCTCTCACCGGGACACGCCCCGGCCGGGGCTCGGAGGGATGGGGGGCTACAGGATCAACAAGATGAATTTTTCATGAGAGGTAGTGGCGTCGCCGCTCTGTATCGAGTGTGAATATTGCACACATTGCAGCAGCGGGAGAGAGGACGGCGACGTCAGGCGGCTCGGAAGTGTGAGTGTGTACGTGCGTGCGTGTGAGTGTGTGTGTGAGAGAGAGAGGACTGTGTGTGCGCGTGTGGCGTTCTTGCGACGAGAGGCACGGGTTTGAGCCGATCCAGCACGGCCAGGCAGTGCCTGATTGGCAGAGCGGCAGAGCAGCCCCGCGGGGGGCACAAGGCACAAGGGACTTGAAGGGGCCGAATGGACGGGGGGCTTTTACCGCGTGTCATCGCGACAGGTGGGGCAGGGGGAAACCCCCAGCTCGCTCCACCCCGCCCCGCCACGCCACGCCCCGCCACGTCGCGACTCTCGGCGGCAGGGCGGGGCAGGGCCTGCGTGAAGGGCATGTTATGAGAATGGACCTCCACGCCGTGCCGTGCCGTGCCGTGCCGTGCCGGGCCGAGTCGTGCCGCGCGGCCGCTAAATGTATGGAAAGTAAAACAATTTACTTTATGAGTGCGGCCCGCCTCGCTCCGCGCCTCGCCTTGCGCTTGCGACGCTCTCGCGGCAAGGCTCGCGGCAAGGCTCGCGGCCCGCCCGAAAAAGGACGAAACGCAAAAAGCAACAACAAGGCACGTTGCAGCTTGTACTACCCGAGCTCGACGACATCACGTCGTGTCTACACGGCCACTGCTGCCGCGGAGGCTCGCAAAGGCGTGGGAGGCGCTGGCCACGGAGTCTCGCCGGGCTGCAAAAATTGCTGGAAACGGCATATCTAGGCCGCGGAGACCCGCGGGGCCTCCCCAACCCCGGCCCGGAATCGCGCATCGCACATCGCGCAGACCAAATGGATATTTGACGAAGTGGGGCGGACATGGCCGAGCCACTCCCCGCCCCGCCCCGCCACTGCCAGCAACAAATGACCGCACGGCACGCCACCGCGCGGCCACGCACCGCCGCTACAAGTGAGACTGCACCACCACCACACCACACCACGCCGATGATCTGCCCTGTGTAGGTGCGCGCTCTGGCTGCCCTGGCCAGCCCTTCGCTCTCGGGGCCCTTCCCTTCGGCCTTCGGGCAGCCCTGCGCAGCCCTGCAGCGCCCTACGGCGCCCAATCCCGGCAGCGGCTCCAGGGAAGGGGGCCCCGCCCTCCGCCCGCCACCACCCACCGCCTGCACTTGACGACTTCCCCCCAGGAGATACAGCGACCGGCCCGTGCCTGGCCGTGCCTGGCCGTGCCCAGCCCTGCCGCGGACACCGGGAAGTGCCTCAGTAGCGCCGCCCGAGGGGGCGGGGGTAGGCAACCCAGGCAACCCATCGAGTGGAAGGGAGAGCCGTCCGGAGGGTTGCCTACCTCGAGGTGGTGAGTTCGATACTATGATTGAAAGCGTATACGCAGTCAGGCGCACGCGTGTGCGCACACACTAACATACACACAAGCGAACGAGCGCGCGTGCGACCTCTCAACAGACGCCTTAACCGCAACTCCCCCAACCTCCCCCACCCCTTCGACCCCCGAGCCAACGACACAGACGACACACGACAGTCGGTAGAGGACAGCGCTTGACAAAGTGCGCGGCCGTCAACCCGCCCCGCCCCGCCCCGCCCGCTGGCTGTACTAATTGTAAATGGGGTGGAGCACGCTCTTTGTGGCCAAATTAAGGCATTGCTGGCATGGCCATTTTAGCCAACCGCTGCGAGCGTTCAGTCGGACGGAGCGGCGCGGCGCAGCAAGGCCCCCCTAGCCTAATGATAGCGCGGGAACCGGCAGGCCCGGCAGTCCCGTTCCGCCGCGTCGCACACGGAACACCGAAACACAAAGGCCAAAATAAATGAAACAAATGCAAGACTCACCAGCTAGTCGGAGGCGCTGCAGCCTCGAAGATGACAGGAAGCACGACACACGACGGACTGGCGAACGCACGCGCGCACGCACACGCACGCGCACCAACACACACGAACGCGTGCACTATCACGCGGCGAGGTCCTGGTGACCAGTGAGGGCGCGAGGCGCGAGGCTTGAGGGGCGGGGGTATCCAAGGTATCCAAGAGGGCGTCCGGTTCAGGTATCCTGGAAAACGAGAGAGATATTCAAGAAGCCGTCTGCGATTCAAACCCAAAACCGGTGCAGCGAACTTTGCCTGGCAAACGAGCGCGGATCCAAAGGGAATGACAATTGCCCCCCCCCCCTTTTCCCCGGACTCCTAGATAGCCACCTGAAAGGTACTACATAGAAAAAATACCAACACTTTACCCTTGTAAGTAAGCAAAAGGGGCTTCTTTGCTCACACACACACGCACACACACGCACGCACACGCGCGCGCGGCTCTGCCGCTGAACATGGTTCAACTAATTTAGTCGACTGCTGATGCGCGCTGCGTCGCGGAGTCGCGGCTTGGCATGCCCACGTGGCTAATCCGAACCTCATCTCGGGCGCCGCACGACCGCGTTAAATTTGAAAATGTCACTGTGACGGCAACCCCAAAAAAGTGCTTATTGCGACGCGACAATAGGAATTTTAACGTCACACTCAGCTCCAATGGGACGATGTGCTGGCGCACTACTGCACCCGTAGCCTGGCCCTATTTTGTTTGTACCAGCGAATAACCAGAAAATATTTAATATTCGCGGGTAGCGTGCTTGCGAGTAGCAGGGCCTCGTTGATGTCACTGGCCATGCTGGCCTTGCTGGCCGTTAGAACGCCCTCCCCTCCGGCTCTCCAGCCGGCCCCGATGTGCCCCAATCTGCGGTTCGGCCGACTGACCCACGGCACGGCGACCCGATTCCGGAACACACACACACACACACGTGTGTCCCTCGGTCCGCTGCACCTGGCCGACGGCCTCGGTGACGGCTTCGGTGACGGCGACGGCCTGCCTGCGCTGCGCGCTCCGCACTCGCACGCCCGAGGTGGCCGTGCCGCCGTGCCACCGTGCCGCGCACGGGTCACCATGCTGGCGCGGAGGTCGGGTCAGGCCAGTCAGGTGGGATATGGACCGCGGCATACCGCGACACTGGGACTCGGACACGGCGTGACGTCACACGACGAGCACGTCGCCAGCAGCAGCTTGTCCTGGCCACTCGGCCGTGCCGCGCGCGCGGGCCGCACGCCGCGCGAGAAGGACAAGGACGGAAGGGCCGACGGGGATACAAAATGGTGGCTACACAACACGGCCCACGGCCCACACCGTGTTCGCCCGTTCGGCCTTGTCGGGGCGCTAGTGCCTCACCGTGCAGAGTCCGCAGGGGCTGTCCGTCGGTCTGCCCGCGTCCACGGCAGCGTCCACGGCAGCGCGCAGAGGCAGGGTCCGCACACAATCCTTTTCGCCCTGGCCAAAGCCCACAAAGCCCGATGCGAGACGGAACAGCGCAGGCGATGTTCTCCCGTCGACCTGCCAGCGTCGTAACTCCGAAACAACTGACTGTCGAGGCAGCGGCAGTGGCGGAGGCGATGGCGGCGCAACCACCCCCTCGTGCCTCCAGCCCCGCCGCGCCCCGCCCCGCTGCGGCACTCACCCTCTCCAGGGGCTGCGTCCGCGATCGCCCCCAAAAGTACCCCAGCCTCGGCTTCGTGCAAGCTCCCCGTCCTACAGCCCCACCGGGGTGCACCGGGACTCGGGTTTCTGGGCGCCGTCGCTGCCGGCCGGGCCTTCCCTGTGCTGCATGAAGGCCTTAGCCTGCTTCGCCCAGCTTCGCCGCGCCCCGGAGAGGTTGGCCGGCCGCGCGCTTCGGAGGCCTCCGCCCTGGATGGGTGTGACTAAAGCGCGGGGTGCGTTCCGCGGCGCCACGCAGCGCGCACCGTCTCCCTCGCTCCTCCGCGCGCGCAGCGGGTGCGAGCGAGACGGACGGCCAGCCAGAAGCGCCACCGGCGACGCCACCAACCCCACCAACCACGCAGCGCTGCAGCGCCACCATGGCGGCGGCCGCGGCGTCGCGGCGCCTTCGGACCGCCTCGGACGCGCAGCGCGCCGCCCTCTGTCGGGGCAGGGGCGTACTCGGTGCGCGAGCCACCCCGCCACCCCCGAGTCTAGAGCCGGAGCCTGCCACTGCTCTGCCAGCGACGGTCAATACACGGCACGGCACCTCGCTCTTCGCCTCGCGCTCCAGAGACAGCCGCCTGCTTGCCTCGCTCTCTCTCTCTCTCTCGCTCCCACGCGCAGGGCGAGCCGGGACCAGCAGCAGCCCGGCGACAAGGACGGAGCAACGGAGCCGGAGCTGAACCCTGGCCCTGCGCCTGCGGCCCCAACGCGCAGCCGCGACACAGTTGCATCGAACGAGAGAGAGGAGTCCCAGGGCTCCCTCCCCCTTCCAGTAATCCTTCCCTCTTTCAATTCGTTCGTCTCATTTCTCATAGAAGAGAGGCGGTCGGCGAGACTCGAGACTTAAACCCCAGGGTGAAAGGGCGGGAACAAAGAAGCAAAGAAATGGACTGACAGTTCCAGGTATTAGTCGTGGGAGCCTGATCAGAGTGGTACTTCCCCTTCCCTTCAACAATGCATTAGATTGTTTGGGAACACCGAAATAAAAAAAAACAAGTCTCCACAAAATTATTTTTATTACCAATTTAATACAAGAAGTACAAAGTGGAATAGTATGGTCGTATCACAATTGGTCGATAATACAATTCAGTTCAAGACCTTTGTTCAAATATATCAAATTTATGAGATACAACATCAAAGTATAGCAAGAAACTTGAATACTGAAAGAAACAAATCTTGAGGGACAAAAAAATATGTGAGGAAAAACACCTGTCCTTTCACATAAACATATCATCATAACCAGGAGGGGGCAGATGGTCCGGATCAGGATTGAAGCCTCCTCTTCCACCACGTCCAGCTCCGGGTGGGAAAACAGGATCAAATCGTGCACCAGGTACCCGACCCCTGTAGATTGTGCAGAAAAATATACATAAATGACAAAAGTAGATTACTTATCACCTCTAGTAGAATAAATTACTATGTTTGGTACAACAAACCTGGGTAATCCTCCCGGTGGTAGCATTCCTCTTGGACCATGGAATGGATCAAAGAGCATTCCACCCGCTCCTCCCCGGCCAGGTCCACCAATTCCAAGAGGATCCAGATCAGAACGGCCATAGTTGAACGGGCTGAAACAACAAAAGACCCAAAGTATAAGATTGTTGAAAAAAAATATTTAGACCATAAAATGCATCAAGTGGTAATGACTCACTCAACAGAATGAGGAAAACCACTAGGTCCACGAATTCCTGAACCTCCTGAACCTGGTACTCTCAGTGGGTCATAGCGGTCATGCTCCAGTGCTGAGGGATGTCCCTGACTAGGGTTTTCAGTGGGTGTTTGTGTCATAGCCTCAGATGACACTTTCTTGGTGACTGGCTCAACGAGCTCTTTACGAATGCGCTCAACTAGGCTAACATGAGATGGCACCATTGTTCCCACATTGCCTGTGGTTGCAGAAACCACCTCGCCCACATTAACAGCAAGGTTGGAAACATTTAAATCTGAAGTACGCTACAATGTTTGAGAGAAGAGATCAGACATTCATACTAACTCAGTGAAAAAGCAGGCTCATATAACAATTACAAGATATATCTTACCAACAAATTAAAAATCAGGGTGTCATCAGCACGAACTCCTCTTAAAATGTAAAGGTCTCCGCCATACACATAGCGGAGAGAATAAGTCTCTGAATTACTCCAACCAGATGGAAGTAATTCACTTCCATTTTCGTTTCCTGACAACGATTTCTGCAACAGAGACAGGATCGGTAAAGACTCAATGAACAAAGTAACACTAGAAATGGGGACTGAACCCAAAAGTGCCAACACTAAAAAAGAACCAAGATGCAAGAACAAAAAGCATCTCAAAACGAAGAAATGACAAAGATTTATTATTGAAAGCAAGAGAGAAGTCGTTGGACGAACTTACATCGTCACCCACACCGATGCACCGGAACCCAAATTTTGTGAGAAACCAATGCACGAGAACTACTAATACATCATCTTTGCGTTTGATTGCGTCTGAGACCAATTGAAAACTTAATTCCAAGCCAAAAGTATCGGAAGACATTATTGAAAAACGAGCTAGAAAAGCTACGAAATTGTGCAACAACTACAATGTTTTTGTTGTTATGGACTGAAAACTCCAGGTATATTTTTCATACACATGGAAAGAAGGTATGAGAAATGGCTGGTGGCAGGTAGGTGAGGTGGAGATTAGACCGGACGTTGCGCGGTAGTCCGCGATGTGGCCGTCAGAGCGCGCTGCGCTCCTACTGAGGGTTATCCGGTTCCATCTCTACTAAATCGGACTAGAGCGTTGTTTTGAGAGAGAAGCTTGGGTTGTGTCTGTCACAGCCGGATTATTATGATCGCCGAATCTACGAAGTAATTCGTAAACTGTATCACTGATTGTGTTTCGTTGAATGAATATTGATCTTATTCATTGAGCATGGTCGATGTCCGAGCTTGCGCCAAGCCGCAGGGGCGGGTGAGTTTGTATACTAATGACTCAGGATCCTAGGCTACTCCTTGACGTTCCGGCCGATAAACAACAACTCGCGATTCCGATAATGGCATTCCGCAGTGTATTTGCTCATGACTGCGTATCGTTATCAGTGTAGCAGCCTGTGAGACGTCTCTAAGGAGAGGCGTGACTTCTTTGTGCGTTCTCTCTGTTGAAATTAGACGAGAGTCGTTGAGGCTGATTGTTCTGCTGTCATTGTTTCAGTACTGTTAGTCCTTGATTATTCTTACTTTTAGTACCTTGAAATGTACATATTTCACTCATTACTTAGATCTTACCATCACTTTAGCTCTGTAGTGTTGTAATGCTGTTTCATGAAGCTATGCATGTAGCATGTTTTGACTTAAATTATGCAAGTATTTTATAGCAAACATAGTTTTCCAGTTTTCAAAATTTTTGTGTTATCAATTTTTTTTAAACCTTTATGGTTTTTCTTGTTTAAGGGGTGGGTACCTAATTTCACATATCTTGAAAGTAGGCGTGCTATGAAATTCCAAAATATTCTGCAGCTTCTAGTTTTCTAAACTGTGCCACAGTTTCCTTCTGTTCTGTCCCGCCCCCCTTCCCTTTGCCAAAACTGGCTCACTTGCTGAGGCCAGACCTCTCTGCCTCTAGAAGTTATGATGTTACACACAGAGGATGTGCCAGTTATTATCTTATTCATCACGTTGATCCTCATCCTGGGGCCTACAGTGCGTGACTAATGAGTAGCCCAGTGGTGGGCTTGTGCAGTTTGCCCCAGCCTGGCCAGCCTGGCACTGGCTGGCCTCTCCTATTCATGACTGCATGCCACATGCCGTGAAGCCTTTAAAGGCCTGCCCTACAATCATGACTGCTGCTATTCCTCTTGAAAGAGGAGCAGTACAGGCAAACTGAGTGCTGAGACTGCTCATGTACACGGTGGTCCTGGTGGTGTCATGTCACTGAACGAGTGACTGATAAAACAGTGCAGGGGCTTTCGCTTTCAGTGGCTGTCTGACTCTTTTTTTTTTTTTCACTACCTGGTGGAGGTGGTGGCAGCCGAGTATCTGTGTGATTACTTTATCAGCCAATGGGCAGCGGAGCAAACAGTCACACTTGACTGGGCACTCTGCTCACTAGTACCCTTATCATGTTTTTTTTTCTTCTCAATAACTCTCTGAGGAAAGAGGTTCTCCCTGTCCTGTATGTATTAATTTAATTTTGGAACACTAATCTCTCATATCAGTTTGAGTCCATAAAAAAAGAGTTGAATTTATTTTGGCAATTTGCTCATAGGAAGTGACTTAACGCAGTATACTGAGGGGAGGGGGAGATGGGTGGGGTCAGGATGTTTGGGAAGTGGGTGGAGTGGTGAGGGGAATTACTCTCTTGACAAGCGGGGGGAGGGGAGAGGGAGGGGAGGGGAAGGATGAACAGGAAGGCGACAGGATTAACCTTTAAATGTCATCCTGTGTCGAGAGGGGGAGGTGCGTGTTCTCATGTAGGGCACCCCGAGTGTTATCACTTTGATCAGACCCTTGGAAAAAAAATACTCCAGAACATTCACACTACAATTAGAATTTATTTCATAATTTTAACTTAAAGAGACAGAAAAGAGACCTTTATTAGGCAATCACAAGTGTTGTAAAATTCCTTTTTCTGGGGCATTCTCCTTGTTCTGCTCACATCCCCTCCTTATATAACACAGCTTGCTGCTGAGGTGAGGATGAGTTGCAGAGGCAGAGCTGGCAGAGCAGGGGAAGGAGGGAAGTCTTGCTTGAGCAGTAGCCCGGAACAGGTGCGATGCCCAGCCTGCTCCAGGCAGCCAGTTTACCTGGCTTACTGTCAGCTCCTTTATCACTTGTTGGGTGCAACATTTCATAGAGTTATACCTAGCCTGGATGGATCTTTTTTTTTAGGTTCGTAGTGTCTGTGCTGTGAGTGTGTGTATCAAGCATTGTTTCCATTGTGCAGTGTGTGACTGCCCCATGACTGGAGTGGTTTGCCAGTGAGCTTTGTTTCCCATACGGAGTTCTGTTCATCTGGGACCTCTGTTCTTTCTCCCCGATTTATTAGTTGATGCCAGGGATGGGATTTCTAGTTTCATACTGGGTAGAATGCTGGGTGGTACATAATTTATCAGGAAATGTCAAGCTGCATCAACACGTTGCTGTGGCCTAGATAGACGCTGGTGCTCTGCACCCATTTAGCAGCATGATTGTGCTAGTAATTTAGCTTCTTCTTCTGCTCAGTATTATTTATCTTTTTGAGATTGTAACTTTTGTTTTGTTTGGTATTTGATTTGATTTCCAGTTTTGAATTTGTGATTTTCATCGGTGTATGAATGACTAGAACTGCAAGTATTCATCATGACAAATTCCCAGGTATGTCAAAGTATCAGTATTTTAGTTAATAAATAAATTGGTACAGAAATTGTTTTCGGTATGTACAGCAGATTCTGTAGTTAATTTAGTTTGACTTGCCATGCCGTAGATGCTATGAAGTATCATCTATCAATGTCTTTTGTTTCTTTCTATTTTATTGAATGATGTCTTAGTGGTGTTTTGTACTGTATGTCCCTACTTTTTCTTTACTTTGCTTTTCTTCTTTTCTGCAGTTGTGGTTTCGAGGGATTCGCAGCTCCAAATTCAGACATGTGTACGGGGCTCCTGCCAAAAGAGATCGATGCTATGAAAACATTAAGATTACAAAAAATGCCCATGACTCCCAGTTTTGTGCTGTAAATCCTAAATTTGTTGCGGTTGTAACAGAAGTAGCAGGGGGTGGAGCATTTTTGGTTTTACCAATTGATCATGTAAGTGACAAAGAATTCTTTTCCAATTCAATGTCTTTTCATGTATTTTATCTTCATTTTCTAATCTTTGTACAGACTGGTCGCCTTGACTTTAATACAAGCAGAGTAACAGGCCATAGAGGTCCTGTGTTAGATATAAAATGGAATCCCTTTAATGATAATATAATTGCGTCATGTTCTGATGACTGTACTGTAAGTTCATCTATTGCCAGTGCATCAATTTATGTTTAATGTGTTTTCTAGAACAACCGAAAGATCATATAATATTATTTTTCAGATCAAGTTGTGGTATATTCCTGATACTGGTCTGTCCATGCATTTAACTGACTGGCTTATCGATTTGCATGGCCATAAACGTCGTGTTGGGTACATTGAGTGGCATCCCACAGCAGAAAATGTTCTTGTCAGTGCAGGATTTGATCACCTGGTGAGAAACGTTGTAAACCAATTGTTTTGTGATTCCGGTGTTTCCTGCCCATCAAAATTCATAAACTAATTACAAACATTTTTTTAATTATTATTATTAGATGATTGTGTGGGACATTGGGCGGGGAGAAGCCATGACTGTAATTGACTGCCATCCAGACGTAATTTATAGTATGTCATTTAACCGAGATGGTAGTTTGATTGCAACAACATGCAAAGACAAAAAGGTCAGAGTTATTGATCCACGCACAGGTGCTGTTAAAGCGGTAAGTTGTTTACTCTTCCCTCATCAAGTAATCCGTTTGGAAGATTTTTGAATCCTCATTAATGCATTTCTTTTATACAATACAGGAAGGAATGTGTCATGCGGGTATGAAAGCAAGCAAAGTTACATATCTTGGCAGCACTGGCCGTTTACTAACGACAGGGTTTTCTCGTCATTCTGACCGTCAACTGGCTGTCTGGTCTCAGGAAGACTTGTCTGAACCTCTTACTGTTGAAAATGTTGATTCTTCATCAGGTGTTCTCTTTCCATATTATGACCATGACACAAGAATAGTTTTTCTTGCGGGGAAGGTATGTATAGTCACTACGACCTTATGTTTAATAATGAATTTGTGTGTGAATTAGGTTTTGAAAAAACTAACAATCCCTGTCTTTAATTGCAGGGAGATGGTAACATTCGATACTATGAGGTAGTAGATGAAGCTCCTTGGCTTCATTACTTAAATCAATTTTTGTCAGGATCTCCTCAGGTAAATATTTTAAAAGTTGTCTCATTTTGCTTTCTGCCGTATGACGTGTTCAAGAAAGTATAGTTTATGTCTTAATTCCAGCGTGGTCTTGGTTTCATGCCTAAACGTGGCTGTGAAGTTTCACTGTGTGAAATATTTAGGTTTTTCAAACTACACACAACTAAGGGCATGTGTGAGCCTGTGTCAATGATTGTTCCTAGAAAGGTAAGAGTTGAATTCTGAAGACTAACCTTTTGTTAATTAATGCATACCTTACCTTTTTCTGTCAATGTTATGTTTTAGAGTGACCAATTCCAAGATGATCTATTTCCTGACACTGCTGCTCCTGTTCCTGCAATGACTGCACAGGAATGGTTGACAGGCAAAAATTCTATGCCTGTATTAATGTCCATGAAGACAGGTGAGCATTTCAGTTAAAATATGAAATTTGGGATGTGAGATTTTACTTTTGTGAGCTTTGTTCACTGATGTTGATAAACAAAAAAATAATCAAATTTTCAGGTGTCACCATTCGCACTCATAAACCTAAAGTGTACAAACCTGGTGATAATGTTCTCCCTATTATGGCAGAGAACAACATTCGTAAGAAATTTGCTTTCTTATCAAGGGAAACTGTTCCGGATTACAGAACTGTTGATGTAAGTTCATTCGAAGTTTTTTCTTTTCTTCTTTAATAGTTTCGAGTAGATGCTGAAATTGGGTTACAGTAGCTGTAACATAAATCTTATGAGTTTGACAAAGTAAATATTTATGGAATGAGTTTATTGCTTGAGTGAATGTTTTATCTGAAAAGTAGATGGTTTGTCTTTTGTATTGAAATTGGTGCTTGTGTCGCTTCATAGCAAAAGGCTGGTAGTATGGATTGCTTGGATGCGCCATCCCATATTCATCAAGCTACTGTTCCTCCTGTACCTGACCTGTTGGAAAATGGGACTGGATCAAGCCGCAATTTTCTTCAAATGGTTTGTAGTTTACCTTGAAGTTTGGTTGATATTAGGCAATACTGCATGCATGCTCTACAAACAATGTCAATTCAACATGTCCTTGAAAAGAGTTGTGCAATTTAGTTAGAGTAAATTTTGGTGGACTAGTATGTTGTCATTTATTTACTGTATTGGTGACTTGTTTGTGTTGTTTTGTTGAACTTTGAAAACAATGAAACTTTTAAAAATATTTCCCTTTATGTTCTCTTTTTGCATTTTTTGATGTTAATGCAGTTTCTTGGCCATAATTTCAGCTTTCTCCAGTTGACGAAAAGAGTCAGAAAACAACAAACAACCAAACTACCAAATTTCAACAAATTCAGCAGATGTTTTCTGGACAGGTATAGGGGTTTTTTCCTAGCAAGCCAGGAACTTGAAGTTTTGTTACTATACTCGATGCTAATAGAACCATAATGAATGTAATTGTCTTTTCAAAAGGTAAACAATGTGAATCACACCAATGAAAATTCTTTGAACTACAAGAAAAATTCTCCTTATGGGGAAAACAGAGAGAAAGAAAAAGAAAAGGAAAAAGAGGCTAATGGAGAAGTTGATCATAGTCCTAAAAACTTATATCAGGTCTGTATTGTGTTATCATTTGTTGAAATTTTCTTTATATTCTAATTCTAACATTATTATAATTTCAAAAAATCCCCTCTGTTTACATAGCTCCAAAGGGCCTACAGTCAACAGTGTGAAGACTTGAAGTTACTACGTAAACAAGTACTAGCTCGTGATCGGCGTATTCAAGAACTTGAGCAACAGATTGCTCAGCTCACAGGTGCTCAAGCATCTCATAAAGAACTTTCATCAATTCACTCATCTCATAAAATTGGGCGTTGATTGTTAAAATTAATTGTGTACCAGTTTGTTTATTCAATATGTTGGAAACTCTGGTGCAGCTTTCTATGATGAAGAACAAAACACTCCATAGAGCTATAAGTTTTTCTTGTATCATGACTGTTTTGATTGCATAAGCATGATAGTATAGTTGAATGTGACCTGACATTTCTGTGGTGATGTAGTTTTAGAATACTTCATCTAAACATCATACATATTCAAATAATAGTGAAACTCGGTTTCAGTATTTTTATTCTCTACTCATGAAATGTGCCCTATGTTCATGATAGTATTTATTATAATTTTAGGAATATCTGGTTCATATTCTGTTGTTTTATTAGTGAAGAAACCCTTGAGAGAATATTTTATTTTCTATTGTACTTGCCAATCTCTAATCCTAGGGATGATTTGTTTTGCCTCTCTTGTTGCTGCAGAAGCGCAGCCACTCACTGAAGCTTTGTGGTTCAAATCAGTTCAAATCAAATTTGTACTTGTATGATAACCAACCTAAGTCTTGCCCCCCTTTTTTTTGTTTCTTTTTTCTGTGTACTTTATTTGCTATTAATTTCCTCAGATGGTGGTTATTAGCTTTCAACTTTCGTAGTTTCCATTATATACATGTTAGTTCATGTATGGTGCTGAATATAGAAACGCCAGAGCCTCAGAAAACTCTAGAAAGGCCGGCAAGTCCGGCATTGCGCTGATCTGCGCTGTTGACTCACCTGCTACTGCAGCCTATCTAATTTTTTTTCTTAGAGTTCTGAGCATCTTGTTTTAATTTTAGCTTTATTTACAATGAACGTTTAATTGGTTTTGATGATGAGTTAAAACGAATTATACTGTCCTGTTACCACTTGAATCTTTGCAACAACAAAAATTGTTATTGATTGTTTTTTTTTTTTTTTTTTTTTCATGCAGACGTTATTACTGAGTTTACTTTCATTTTAATTTAGATTACAGTAGCTGTGTTTGTTTTTATTTTTGTCCCGCTTTGTAAGACATCATAGCCCAGTTTTCAAGTGTATTATGAATGTTTTAGAATTTTTGATGAGATCAGTTGGAAATTCTGTCTAGTTGAAAATCTTTTCTTTGAAGTTTTTGACATTCCTTTTTCTTCTTTAGTTTTTAGTTTACTAATCTCAAAAAGTCCCATTTTTTAAAAAATGACCCAGAATGTTAACTTCTGAGAAATTGTGTTCTGTGTTAAGTTTCTGTGATCACTTCCGCTCTTTTGACTGCATCTGTAACATGTATAATTTCATTTGATACAAATGGCGGATTTTACTCTGTTACCAATGAAGGTCAGTGATTTGGATATAATAGTATACCCTATACCCCCTTTTGTTAGTTATTATTGTTTGAAACATTGTTGTTTTAATTTGTGTCACTAGTCTCAGCACTTTATCAAGATTGTTTTCTCTTTGGTGCTGATATGAAGAAATGCATAACTGGCTCTTCTTCCTTCCCTTCTTTATTGGAGTTAATCTATGTCTCCATTCCTTTCACAATAGGGTGGTCCCAAGGATTCAGGGCTGGGAGGCTGATTCCGCTGCTTTTGGGGCAAGCGTCGGGGTTTGCCCACTAGTAGGCGTTTTGGAGTTGTTCAAGTGTTAACCCCCCCCCCCTTTCCCCTTTTCCCTTCCCTATTTTTCTCCTAATATTGCCACTGCTATCCTATGTATGAATCAGACCTTGTGTCATGAACTAGAAGGTTAATAGTATGTGAAAAGGGATTCTTTGATCCTAAATTAATGAACCATGTCGTCTTCCCATCTTTGTTCTCAATTGTCATGGTACTTAAGTCGTTTGATGCCAAATTATGCAGAATTTATGCTTTTGTTAATATTTTCTTAGATCTCACTTTTGTTTTGTGTTTGAGGGTGTTAGTTTAAAATGTGATTGATTTGATCAATCGGTATTAAATAGTGAGGTGGCAGGTAGTACCTTTTCCATTTATTATTGTTGTACTTTGCTTTAAACATTCTTGTCTCATGTCAACTCAAAAGAGCCATATTGCTCTCCTTGTAATATTTCAGGAATGACGTATAACCCAGGGTGCATGCATTCTGCGTACCTTTATGAGGTATTATCTGAAGCAGATGCTCTGGAAGGAAATCATCCATTAAAGTGTCAGTTAAGCAAAATTTTCAAAGAATCTGGCATTTTGACTCCAGCTGTCTCTTACTTCAGTTACAAATTATCTCTGCAAGTTTTTTCTTTTGTGATCAATATCATGAGAAATAGTCCACTGACGTACTTTGGGGATTTTCCGCAATTTGCACACTGTGTGTGTTTTCTGTACATAATTATTGTGAAATTTGTTTTCCATGCTTCATTTTATCTATTTCGAACTTTGTATCTTGCGTTTATTGTGTGCCCATGTATTGTAGTTTCATTTGTAATCCATCTCTTGAAAGGAACATATACTGTATTGTGGTTCTTTTATGGACAAAGTCATTTTTGTTCAGTTCCTAAATTAAATGTAGAATTCTTGTACATATTGTGAAGCTTAACTTTCAAGATCAATCCAGGGTCCACTTGGTAGGCGTTAACTGTGAATCCTAATCCAGTCTGTCCTTGCTTGTAATAGATGCAGATATAATTGATTTTTAGGTAACAATAATACACAAGGATTGCCTTCTGTCCTATTCTCCTCTTGTGTTGCTAGATGCAATTTGAATCAGAATATGCCCTATTTTTATGTGAATTTGCACAGTTTTGCTAATAATTATCAAATAATTATATATTCTGTATGCAATTATTCTTGAGTGTCCAATCCAAGATGTGTAGTGTCTTTTTAAAAAAAATCACATCTATGTCGATTGAGTTTCTCACCTCCTGCAGTGTACAGCACTGCTTTTTTATGCAGGAGGATTTTTAAAGGACTGACTAGGACTAGGCCAACTAGTTGATCAGGGTCACCTATAAGGATATGGTTATTCATATTTCTGTTGATCCTCAATGCGAGAAGTACCTCTATACATGATTATACACATTTTTTTGTAGAGTGTAGTTTTGTGATAGGTGTGTTATGTACTGGCTTATTCAACACTTTCCAAATAAATGTGATAGTGAAAAGCGTCTCTTATTTTTCTGTACTCCTGTTTCTAGTCTGAAACACACTTTCTTTATTTTTGACATTCTATTACTGGTATGACTTCAAAGTCCTTTAACACTTGTTATGCTATTTACAACATTTTTCTCAAAGCTGAAGCCATAGAATTTTAAGAATGAAAACCAAACATGATTTATTCAACATGAAGCTGCATTGTACAAACCATACATGTGATAAATAATTGTCATAACATTCTTACCTCATTCATACAGTTTGTAACAAAATAACTACTTGGTACAGCATTACATAGTCCCATTTCACTCTACCCAATTTCCCCCAAATATGTTAAACTGGTTGACTGTGATGCACACTGACAGGTACAACCATCCAATCCAAGAATCAGCATTTGCTATTCAATTCATCACATCTTGAAAGATGTCTTACAGTCAATGCGTTGAAGATCCTAATTTACAAGGGTTTCAAAGGGAAGATGGAAGGACAGGGACCACAACTCAATTCGGATACTGAATAAGCACCAGCTGTCAAACTTAACACAAATTGGAATGTGCTTTTGTTAAAAAGCATTGTTGTGATTCATGCTGAAAGTTAAGTAGGATACGTAAAAGTTTTAATTAAGAGAAGTAGGGCTTTATTATCAGGAAACAGCATGACACAGTTTTACTATGATGCAAATGAATTGCTTTGGTCCAAGTGCATGCAGGTGATTAGAATTCATAGAATGTGCTGAGATTCTCCATATTAAGCTTAAAACAAGCATGGATTAAAGATGAAGTGCCTGAGGCTGGTTGGTTGACTTGTAATGGAAAAATTTAAAATGGAAACAAATTTAAAAACTTGTCAGTTACACAATCACTTATCACAGACTGGTTGGCAGGAAGTCTGACATCTGAAAACTCCTGCCACCAAAGGAAACCTGCAGATCATTATTTACAACTACAAAAGGAATTGGGAGTGTAGGTCTCATGTCAAGTTTCTGGTTTACACAAACATACATCCAGCATGCTTCTATAAAAACATGTTAAAGCTAGTCACTAAAAGCCTATTGGAAATATCACAGTTGCTCAACAATAACATAATTATTTGAAAGGAAAACCGGAAAAAAATGGACCGTAAGACTCAAGGTCTATCTTTCAGAGGGAAACTTGAAAGAGGTCAAATCAAGATAAAATGCAGAGAATGAAAGAAATGGTATTAAAAAATACCAAGAGGGGCACCATGTGCCAATAATACTGAGGACCTCTTACTCAACTTTGCCTTCCAAATTATGTTTACTTATGCTTTAAAATAATATCCAGCCCTTTGAATTTTACTTTATCTACAGATAACAGAGAATAAAATTCTGCCACTTCCACCTTCACATTTCAAAGGTAGAAGGATCTTTGGCACATTATTAAGTAATTTTTGAAAGAAAATCTAATTTGGCTACGCTGTTAGGAGGTGAAAACACGTCTGATTTACAGGTATAGAATATACAGTATTCAATGGCAATGCCAAAAACCAGAGACAGCTTCATTTGAAGCAGACAACACATACTTCAGTACTATCACATAACAACAAGCATTCAAAAAATATTATGTTTGTGTAAATCGGTGACAAACAAGGATTCATAGTAAAATACAGCACACAACATATCCTTATAGTCAATCTTTGCTAAAAATAGAAAGTTAAACAAGAAATTTACAGAGAAAACTTTCTACAAAATATAAACACCTTTGAATGTAGTTAACAATTGTTAGAATATAAAAAATGCCTAAACATGGTAGGCAAGATCTAACAGTGGCAGACACATTAATAAGGGCAAGACTTTAAGTAGCGTATACATTTACAGACAATGAACATCATTTACAATCTTGCCGGAATATTTTAACAGTCAATCTGATTAAGAAGAAGCACATTTTACAGTGAAACATGAAACTACAAAATCAAGAAATAATCTAGAAAATATTCTGTTTATTAGCTGTACCGGTTAATAAAAATCTTTACTAATAACAAACAATATATGTTACAAAAATAGTAACAAAATACAATTAGTTTCAAAACTTTACAAGCACAACAATAAAGTAGAATCATAAAGAATACAGAACAAAATTGTGCAATACATTGAGTGCGTCCATGGTAGTACATGGCTGCAACTGCACATCCTTTGTTTGTATCATTGGTAGTAGGCACAAGTGATCACATAAAGTTTAAGACAAATTAAAGCATTTTAGAAAAAGCTTGTGGTTAACACATTGTGGACAGTACATCTATGAAATGAGATCCAAGCTCCATTGCTTTCTCTCTCATAAGTGATGATTATATTTTCTGAAAAGAAAAAAAATTATTCTGAGTGGTACAATATGCTGACAAGTAGCATAAGGAAAAAAGTTGTGACCTTACCTGATGGGAAGTCTACTGGGCTCATGAAGTTTGATGGAGGCTAATGACACTCTGGACGGCAGTCCATCCGTGGGGCTTGATGACCTCGACACTCTTGCACTACTTGGCGCAGTGTGAGACACAGTAACGTATGCTGATGGTCCGTGAACGGGACTAGAAGGACGGCTATTGCCTGGACTTGAGTGACAACTTGTTCCACCACGAGGTATTCGGCTTTGCCTATTTTCAGATCTACCATATCCTGCAGAAGGCCTCTTCACTAACCTGGGTCCACTTCGATTCGGATTTTGTTCCATGCCAAGAGATTCTTGAGACATAGAACGCGAACTAGAGCCATTTGGCTTTTCATTTTGCTGGGGCAAAATAAGGCAGGAGTGAGGCCTTTGTCCGCCGGGGTTGTAAGACCTGCGTGCACCTTTCACCCCGATTGATGAAAGAGACACCTTTTTGTCATGTGGTCCGTTGGAGGTCTGGCTTTTATCTCCAAGGCTGTACCGTTTAGTAGCAGGTTGACCAATATTTGTTTTAAAATGTTCTCTCTCCTTATTTAGTCCGTATCCCGCATCAAGAGAACTATATTGACGGTTTGACGCGTCAATAGACGGTGTCTTCGAAGACATCAGCAGTTTGGTTGAGGGCAATGAACTACGAGTACTGCCGCCTCTGACACTTTGTCCAACTGAAACTCCAGAAGGTCTGCTTGAGAATTTGGCATTTGAACTACTGGCCATCTTATCAGCAGTGATCGTATAGTGTCATGAGATGGATATTGATGATGATTGACTTGCATAGAAGTATCAGTCTTTCCATTTTTCAAGGGTCCAAGAGTATTTCGATCTTTTTCTGAGCTTCCATCTGTTTCATTAGTTTGATTCGGATAATAAATCATACTGCGGCGGTTCATCATCCCAATTTTGGAATCTTTTCTATTGGAGTTGGTTCTTGGGGAAACAGAGGAAAGTGCTTTGGAGGTATACTGTGTCCCCTCCTTGCTTGAATTAGATGGGTTATCGCTGTCAACAGTGGGCGCTCTTACAGCTGTGGGTTTTGGCAAAAGAGAGCTTCCCGGAGCATCTTTTCTTGGGACTGTAGACGGTCTGCTGATCAAACTTGAATATCGGAAATCAGAGGCATTTTCTTCAAAAATCCTTGAGAAACGTTTGTTCACTCCTGAGCTTGTTGAACTGCCAGCAGTCTGTTCTATTTTGCTTGCATTAAATGATTTTGCATACGACAAGGACTTTGCAGCATTCTCTGTCACCGCAGTTCTATTGGCAACCTGAGCTAACAACGTAGAATTCTGGAAGAGCAGCTCTCTTAAACTAGGGATCTTGGATGCCGAGTCAGAGCTGACAAGACTTTCAGTACTCATTTTTGATACTGTTAATTTTTCTGGCAATGGAACTCCAGCATCAATGTAGAATTCTTCCTCCAACAAAGCAGGATACGAGCTGGATAGAAGAGCTGGTGAGGAGGCTGATGATGAAGCAGGTGGTTGTTGTGATGGTGATGTGCCACCATTATTGGCCCGACTGATGGAGAACATTGTGGAATCAGAATTAATGCGAGAGATAAGAATGTACACTGCTGTTAAATCCAAGTCAGAAATATCAGAGGAAGGAAGAGGCTGCTTGAAAGAAGTCTTAGGTTGGGATTTGTTAGTTTTGGATGACACAGGAAGGGGCAAGCGGCTTCCATAGGTTAGAGGTTGAGCCCAGCTAGAACATTAAACAAAGAGGATAAAGAGTTAATTTTTTTTTACAACAAATTGTGTGTTTTATGAAGCAAGGATAACCCAAAGCAATTGGTGGGAGGGATGAAAGAAGCTTTTTAATTACATTCAAAGATGAATACGCACCTTTTACTAGAAGATGTGGAGGCTACCTTTTTGTTCATTGACGAGAAAGAACTAAAATTGGAACATGGGTCCTTCTTAATTTGAGTAAGTGCCCGGTAATTAGGAGGGGAATCATTCCCAACAAGAGTCGTTATGCTACTAAAAGTAGAATCTGGTTCTTTTTTTAATGGAGAGAAGCCATTAAAACTTGGGGCAGATTCTGAAATTGTAGTTAAATAATATAAGGGCACTTGAATATAATATTGACATGGTCCAAGAACTCTATAAGCCTCCAAAATAGTTACCAGATGTAGTTGAGGTAATACTAGCAGTTATTCTTGATTCGTTTCCAATATGCCCACCTAACAGACCTACAGAGCTTACAGCAACACTGCTTGACATATTTGAATTGTTGCCAGAGGGAAGGTGGTTTGCTTGTCTAGAATTAAAAAGAAAAGAAAAATATTTCAGTCGAAGCCTTGACATCACACTGGGAACAGGATAAAGTATAATAAAAATTTACTTCAATACAATATTTTTCAGACAAACCTCATTTCAATCCTTAGGGGATCAGGGCCTCGTAAAGAAACAAGTGTGGCACGTTTTCCTTCCCCCAAAGTTTTCATGTTAACTGTAAATATGCCATTATCATCAGTGACTGCATACACACTTGATAAAGTGAGCAATTAACAAACTGGTTCCTTGCTACAAAAATATTCATTACATACCTGTTACTAATCGCCTTGGCTCTGGGGATAAATTCCTCATTTCAATTTGTTGCTCCTCTTGATACAGAGCAAGATCATCTGCATCATTTGACTCATGGGCACCACCATTAAGCACAGTTTCCATCTCATTACAAGCAGCATGCAGTTTATCTAGAACATCCTTGTCACGACGAGGGTAACTTTGAAGCCTCTCAATTGCCTCTTGGAGAGCAGAGAGTAAGTTTGAATCATGAGGGAGTTTCAATAATACTTTAAGTCTGGGGAGTAGCCCACAAAGAACTAATCTCACATTGGGAATAGGATCACCTGACAAGAGAAATATGATTTAATATACACACAAAAGGCAAAAGTTAAAATATTTTCATGACCATTTAAGACACCCCACTTCTTACCAGCTAGAGATAAAAGGCGCAAGAAAAAATGGTCCTTGAAGTAAGAACTTGAGAAAATGTCAAGAGCCATACCACACATTTTCACAAACAGTAAACGTGTGTGGCAGCTATGATGAATGCACAGCTCTGAAAAATATAATTTCAATTTGTTTAAAATATAAGCAAATGAAAACCATCTAGCATCACAATTTAAAGGAGATACTAACCAGTGAAGATTCTATTTCTAATCTCATTCTGATTCTCTATTTTTGATGTATGCCGCAGAACTACCAACAAAAGTCGAGCCGCAGCCAGACGGCATGGTAATGCTCTCTAAATAATTCAAAGGGGGAAAAAAGAACAACATAGTGTAAGACTGTCATTTGAGTTCAAAATTTGATAAGGCTGGCTTGTGACTTACAGAGTCCTGAATGCGATGAAACAGTACAACAGGCATATTACTGAAGATGAGATCTGAAGGTAGAGTCTTGACACAACTCTCCAACTGACTCAACATTGAAGAATGGAGTCTCCAATCATTTGTAAGGCTTAAAGAAACTTCACATTTCAGTAAATTTCGTAACAGCTCAACATTAAAGGGATCCTAAATGCCCGGGGGGTGGAGAAAAAAGAAAAAATGTCAAAAAAATAATTTAAACAGAGTGGAAATGTTAAAAGGAAGTAAGAAATATAACATACCATGGGAGATGAACTAATAATTCCATGTTTATTTAAATGTTCTAATATAGAAGATAAGTTAGGAACAAGGGATGAAAGGACATCCCGAGATTCATCTGACAACAGCATAAAAAGCTCTGACTTCAATAACAAGCATCTCATTCCTAAAACTCGAAACACCTGAATAAAAAGTGGAGATATTATTAAGAGTTATCAGAATTTTCAAGATTAAAACAAATTATTATAAAAGGAAATTGATGTATTGTGAATGCATATTTTTTCAAACCTCATGAATTCCTCCGGCTATCATTCTGCGTACATAAAATGAATGATCACATGCCAGATTTGCATATGTAGAGTGCAGCATTTCTTCAAATATTGACTGGCCAGCAAAATGAGCTATGCCAGGAAAATTATAAGCACAGTTTAGGCGGCATTGCAATAAAAGATCAGCATGTTCTTTCTCTCGAACCAAGTCTGACACATTCTAGAATGCAAGCATATTGGTGAAAAAGTGCGAGTAAATATAAAATTTCATTATTTAAGATTGATAATAGATGCAAATAATTAATACACACTTTAATTTCATGGAATGAGGGCTGTTTCCCAATGCCCAGATTTGCAACTTCTCGGAAGAAAGATATAAACCATGACATTTCATTTTCTGACAGAACACCTAATTAGAGAGGCAAAACTTGTAAACACAGTGGTGCTTAAAATAAACTCAGGAATACGAAGGCTACATACAAAACTTACCTTTGAGGCCGATGCAAAGTTGACCATACTTTTCACTTAAGGCACATAGCACTTTGTCTTCTTCTACTATTGCTTGGTCACAAAGCTTTTTTAGAAGAGGCACTATTGTGTTTTTTAGGACATCTGACGGGCAAGACAAGCAATTTTGTTGAAGTCATTTAGAGCTATGCAAGACCACTCAAAGAAAAAAAGAGCGAAAAAGCACTATTCCCACTTACCTCCAGGCAGCACATTAACCAAGTCACTGATAGTATGGATAGAGGCAAGTCGAACGTGCTGTTCCTCATCTACAGCCAACTCAACAAGGAGGGGCAATAGTGTAGGTTTGATTGCATCAGAAGACAGGCCCCTGGCAATGAATGGAAGCTGATAGCACATACTTCCGCGGACCTCTCCACTGACATCTTGACAAAGTGAGTGCACCAATGGCACTATTTCTTTTTGTAACCTGTGAAATTTCAAACAAGTAATAAAATGTTAGAGCTGGTTAGTAAATCAGGGAATGCCTTGAATTGGCTATAAAATGGAACACTTACTGAGTACAATCAAATTTTGTTGCTATTCTGCCAAGCAGCTCACAGCTAGTGACACGGGAATGAATGGACTGTGAAAGCTGTCCTCTAGAAATGGCCACAGGGAGAATCTGAAAAAGGAAGACCAATTGAGACGAAATTGGGGAAAAAATTGAAAACTTTGATAAAAGATACAGAAGTTGCAAATATTTTCCTTGAAGTACTCACATCACTTTTCACAACATTTTGAGGCAGCAAATCTATGATGTCCAGAAGTGTTTCAAGCCATGCTTTTGAAGTATCTGAAACAGACAAACTGAAATTAGCATATGTAAGGAAGACAATCAGTGCACTATAGAATGAAATTTTTTTTAAACTGACAAGGGTCTCGGCTGTCAACACAGGCGACAATGCTGTTCAGAAATGTTACAGTGAATGTAGATGGAGGCACCAGCTTCTGTTCCAAAATTGTTCGAAACGTATTTGATGCAATCATATGAAATTCTGCTGCATCGCCAGGAATAGCCTGCAACAAACAGCAACAAAGTGTACCATATTATCTCCTAAACTTCAACAATGACAAAAACAGACTCTGAATTCATGGTAGCATACCTGCTGTAATCTAGGGACCATTTTCTCGATGCAGGTCGCATCTCCATTTGAGAGAATGCGAGGCAGTGCCTCAACAATGTTGAGGCGCTGCAGTTCTTCATTACCACTGAAAATGTTAAGAGATGAGGTGAGGCAACTATTGTCAGTCTTATAATATACCCAGTTATGCACCAATTTCTTAATTTTGAGGAATATTTATTAGCTATGCAGCATAAAATAACAATGCTGAGTTGTGAAACATGAGTCATACACCGTTTTGGGACAAGTGTAAGATTTAAAGTGGTGTCACAACAGATGCAGATAAAAAGCAGAGTTTTCTTTAAAAATTTCAATCACTATTAGGAAAGAATTGAACTAATTTGAACTTGATCCGAGAAAGGCTGCTGTAGGTAAATTATTTTTCATCGCAACTTAGAGGCTTCCAAAGAACAGGACAGCCTAACCTATCCCATTGAATCAAAGGCCTAGGAAAGCAAGGACCCTTGATGCTTTGTAAATGACAGTTCGATTCTTGGTTTCAGTGAGACAATCAACACGTCTGCAACCCTGCTGAACCCAGAAATCACCTGCCCCAACTCACAAATAAAGGGAATAAGAGCCACCAGGAAAATGTCAACATATCCTGGTGTCCACGAAGACTGCAAACGTCACAGGCACACTTGTGCGTTTGGAACGAGGACCGCGGCCGTCGCTCCGGTCTAGAGCAAGTCAAAACGCGAGACGAGACAAAATTGGCTGCAGATGCAGCCGCAGCAGACGCCCAATGACAGCAACCCCAACCCCGTTCCCACAACGCGTCGCTGTAAAACCATGTGCACCATCAATGTCAACCCACCTCATGGTGAAAATACGCCAAACTCCCTCCGACTGGAGAGACGTAGGGAAAATCAACACATGTTTACATGTTTCCTTCTCTCATTCCGACGCGAAAACGTCCTGCTGCTGCCTGCTTCCTTTCTGCACTGCACTGCACCGTCCCCCGCTCCCCTCCCACTCTCCCTCACACCTGTGACGCCTCTGTGACTAACTCGGAAAGGGGGAGGGGGAGGGGAGGGGGAGGGGGCAGCCGAAAGGAGCGGTGGGTGGGGGAGTAGAGGAGTGGGCTGTTCAAGGTCGGCGCCAAATGTGCCGAAGAGAAGTTAGGCAAACTCTTACCTTGTGTATGCAAATCAAACCAGGAGATCAAACAACGCGGAGCGGAGCGCTGAGCTGCGGCGCCGAAGAGAGGAGAGGAGCCTCGCGGACCGAGGCGAGGCGAGGCGAGGCGAGGCGAGGCCGAAAGCAGGAAGCCTAGCCGCGCTCCGCGCTGCGCCGCGCCAGCCGCGCTCACAAAGCGAGGGAAGCTCCTAAACGGAAGCGGCAAGCCCAACCCAAGCCAAGCCAACCTAGCCCAAGCCCCTGCCATTCCGGCCGTGGCACACCGTGGCATTTGCCACTCGCCACTCGCATTGGCCGTCCCATTCCGTCAGCATTTTCATTTTCGCGGCGGCGCGCGGCGCGGCACGCCCTTTCCGATTTTCGAGAGCTCGCCGCGCCTCACCTGGATGCAATTAGGAAAGGCGCCTCGTCATGCGGACGGGGAAGGGAAGCCTCGGCCTTTTATTTCCTTTTTCCATTTTTCACTTTTTCTTTTTTTTATTTTGCCCGGCGCCGCTTGCCGCGCCGCACCAACGAGGCGAATCCGAACGAATGCAGTCGCCGTGACCGATCGATATCGCATTCCGCTGCAGCCGGGCGATAATGGGATGAGGAGGGACTTGGAGGAGGCCCCGCCGTGCCCGCCCCGCCGTGCCCGACACTCCACACCGTCACCTCCCTCTTATTCGCCTGCGAATTTGATGATACTCCTTGCACAGGCGACTGCCGCGGCAGAGCACGGATTTCTTTTGTTGCCCAGAGTAACATCTATCAATACATCTCGCAGCCCATGAGTCTGGTGGTATTCGAGGTACTCGGGCGCGGTGTATCGCCCTGGCTGTCTCTCTCGATCGCGCCGGACGAGTCGAAAGATGAGGTACATAATACAGTACCGGTTGGCGAGAGCCAAAACAGTGCGAGGATGGGCGTGGGCGAGGGAATCGCATCCCGCGTCATACGATAACAACAACAGAAAATCCAAACAAGAAGTGGGTTTTGGCTGCTGCTGAGGAGGGATCATCTCTTCTACTTCGCCGTACGCCAGAGCAGCAACTACAAACAAGGGGGGGGGACTCTTCTTGCCCCCACCTCCAATCCAGGGCCTGGACACCGCGGCGTCCGCGGCGGGGGCACGGAGCAGTCGGTCAGCCGATTGACCCGTGCCCCGCCTCGCCCCGCCCCGCCTCGGCGACACCGACACCAAGTGAACTTGATGACGTGATGACGTGCTGCCGACATTCCTCGAGGCAGACGTGACGCGGGGAAAGGGGGGGGGGGACGCAGAGGCCTTATCCATTGAATCGGATGGGAATCGCATCCGAGACGATAGTGCGGTGGTGTGGATGGGGCGCGGGGTCCGGCGGCCTGGCCCTCCAAGGCCTGGCCCTCCAAGGCCTGGCCCTCCAAGGCCTGGCCCTCCAAGGCCTGGCCCTCCAAGGCCTGGCCCTCCAGGCCTGCCCTGGCCTGCCTCCAAGGCCTGGCCCTCCAAGGCCTGGCCCTCCAAGGCCTGGCCCTCCAAGGCCTGGCCCTCCAAGGCCTGGCCCTCCAAGGCCTGGCCCTCCAAGGCCTGGCCCTCCAAGGCCTGGCCCTCCAAGGCCTGGCCCTCCAAGGCCTGGCCCTCCAAGGCCTGGCCCTCCAAGGCCTGGCCCTCCAAGGCCTGGCCCTCCAAGGCCTGGCGGTGTGGGTCAGCCTGCTGGCAGGCTGGCCTGGCCTGCTTGATCCCGTGGGGCGCGGGGCCGAAGGGGCCCGACTTTGGGCTTGACGCAGACATACGTACTGCGAATGCCGTAGTGCGCTGTTTAGTTAGAACGCGGTCTGGCCAGGCCTGGCGCGCACAGCGTAGCACAGCGGCAGCGGCACGGCTCGGCTGCCAGAGTCAACACTGCTTATCTTCCTTCTCTTTCTCTGAGCGTCCCCCTTCTCGCTCCAGAAGACGGTGCAGCCCAGTGCGGTGGAGCCCCGAGGTGTCGCGCCTTCGAGGCGCCCACTGAGGAGAGGCGCGAAAGCCCGAAAATAGTCGCCGTGTCTGCCGGTGTGTCACTCGGGGGTGGCCGTCGAGGACGTCAAAACGTGGAGGACCCCGCCAACCCGCGCCAGCCGTTCCGAGGTTCCAACGCGGGGACTTCCCCCTCCCCCTCCCGCTCCTCCAGGCGTCGCAGCGTCGCAGCGTCGCAGCCTCTCTCGTGCCCCCTTTCCTTTCCTCCGCCGTTCCTCTCTCTCTGTCTCTCTCATTTTTCTCAATTCTCCGAGAAGCCGCGCTATCGCGGCCCGGCCGGCCCGGCCCGTGCCCGCGCAGCATGCTGTGAGTCATGTGGACTGTATCGTCATGGAGCAGGGCGAGCGGGGCGGGCGAGGGGGCGGCCGGGGCGGGGCGGGCGGGCGGGGGGTGGCGGGGTCCGGCGGGGCGGTACACGCCAGTCAGTGTCCGCCGCGATCCTGACCATTCGCTCCCAGCCCGTCCCGGTGTGCTGCGCGCCTCCAAGACCTCGCCGACGACGACGTCTCCGCGTCTCCGCCGGCCCAAACCACGACCCGAGGCAATCGCAGGGGTACCCCGCTACCCGCCCCGCCGCCCCTCGCTCCGTCATCGCGGACCTCGTGCCTCCCCGACGTCGCCGTGCCCGCCGTGTCCGCCGTGCCGCCGTGCCGTGGCCAAGGCGGGAGGGGCCCTGGGAGGGGCCAGCTCGGCCCGGCCAAGCCGCACGCCGCACCGCACCGTGCGATACGACGAGACGAGACAAGCGTGTCTTGTAGCCGTCTGTGCCGTGCTGTGCCGCTGTGCCGTGACGTCCGTGACGTCTGTGACGTGACGTCTGTGACACGCCGCGGCGCCTTCCAAGGGAGGCAAATGAACTAGTTTTATGGACTGTGGTGTGTGTGGGCAGTGAAGGGCAGACGCGGGGAAGACGAAGAGACTCTAGGACTCGGCCGTGGCGATGACAGCGAAGATGAACACGGCGTGGGCACTGTCCCTCCTCGTTCTCGCTCTTGCAGGTAAGTGCTTCCACTGTGGCCGAGCATTTTTGTTTCTGTTTTCCCTTTACTTCCTCGTGCAAGAGGAGGGAAATCCAAGCTTGATTCATATCTTGAGCTTGATACTGTCACTCAAGAGTTCTCTATTTTGTGCCACACAAGACTCACAAAGACATTTGCTGGTACTACACTTCTGGTCTGTGCTAAACAAAGTAGCTAATGGGGATCAAGGAAACGGTGCAAACGAGTACATGTGTGGGTTCATCGATGGGTTTATTCCTCCGTGACAGCTGGGTGGGCACGGCAGTGACAGCCCAACGAAGGGTCGGGGCCGGCCTCGCCGCATCGCCTCCAATCGCCTCTCTCGGGCAGGGCGGCACGGCGGCACGGCGGCACGCCGGCACGGCCCCCAAGATAAAACCGGGCGATTCCCCCGAAACGGCCGGGCCGCCGGGCCGCTGCCATCCGCGCCTTGCCTCTTTCTTCCGTCTGCAAACATTTTGCCAGCCGCCAATGCCCCTGCACCAGTAAATGTGAGTGACGTCACAACACGTCGTAAACAGAGAGGGCGGCCCCTCGCCTTCGCGCGTCTTCGCGCCTCGCCTCGGTGCCGCGCTGCCTCCCCGACGGCGTCCTTGTGGGAGGGGGCAGGGTTGGGGTCACCACCAAGTGACGCGGCGCCGGTTCACTGTCACTGCTGTCGCTGCATCTGCATCCAGGATAGAAATAGCCGCACCCTCGCCGGGTCTCCGGGCCGCTGCCGCGCCGCCGCGCCGCCGCTCATGCAGTAGTGGGTACTGCCGGTCTGTCAGTCTGTCGGCCTGTCGCCGCCATCATGCCGATATGCTAAATTTAGACTGGCCAGGCAGTCAGGCACCTCTTTCCTTCATGGAGACAAAGCGACGGCCCGAATCAGATGGCCCGATGGCGCTGGGGCGCTGGGTTGAAGGCTGAAGGTTGCCATCGTCCCGCCTTGTTAAAGCGCGGCCGGCGCTGCGATGCTGCGATGCTGCGCACTGCCACGCCACTGCGCTGCCATGCCGCGGTTGCAGCCGGCAGCCTAATTGTGGCGTGATGAGGCACGGCGCGGCGTGGCGCAGCGCGGCGAGGAGCAGCGCGGCCTCCTCGCATCGACGGAAGGCGCGCGGCAAATGTCGTTGCCCGGCGCGCCGCGGCGCAGGAAATGCTTTCGCCCCCAAAATAAACAGTTCGAGCAGGAAGCGGCAGGGCGGCAGGCCGGTGGCTCTTGCCGGGAGACGCCACCGTCGCGCACCTCTAGCCTTCGCGCCGGCCGGGCCCGGCCCGGGTCGCCCAGTCGCCCTCCGTGTCTGCACCGTATCAGTCCACCTGGGCCCTATCGGCGGGGTGGGGCGGGGCGGACCCCTCCGGCCCCTTTCTTCTAGTCGGCTGGGATTCCTTCCCGGGGGTCGCCCGCGTGGGCCCGCCGCGCCGGGTGCGCCTTGAAATTCCTTGGCCTTTGCTGGGCTGAGGTCGCCGTCGTCGCCATGCAGGCGAGCCGGCCGGAAACACCCTCGCCCCGCCGGCCCGCCCGCGCCGCGCGCCGGAAACGGACTTTATCTTGAGCTGCCGCGCAGCGTAGCGCAGCGTCAACGTCAACGGCGACGGCGACGCGCCACGACCGGCACGCCGGTGCATCCTCCCCGCGGGGACTCGGACCTTACCCCGTTCCCTTTGCCCCGTGCCCATCTTGTCGTGCAGGCGGCCGGCGTGGGTCCCGCAGCGGGCGCGCGGCGCGTGGCGCGCAGCAGCCTTCCCGCGGAATCGGGCGCTGACGTCGCGACAGGCACAGCGGTGGGTGGCCCTGCATCCACGCGGCCTCCAACGGCAAGGCCCGCGCCCCGCGCGAAGGACGCCAACAACGGAAATCCTCTCGAGGCGAAACGACAAACGACGCAGGACCGCCGCCAGACGGGGCCGCCCCGCCCCGCCCCGCCCCGCCCGGCTCCACAGTGGAGGAATTCGGCGGCACGTGCTCCACGTATCTAGTGCCGGCACGCCGGGCACGCCGCCGCTAGAGGCAGCGGGGGCAGCGGGGGCCGATGACGTCACGATGTGCAGCGCCTTCTTGTCCTTGCGCAGGGTGCAGCGCGACCAAGTGCCGGCACGAGGGCCGCTTCTGGGACGGCTGCAACTGGTGCTACTGCCGGGACCACTACGTGGTGGGCTGCACCAACATGGCCTGCCTCAGCCTGCCGGAGGACGCCTACCGCATCGACCCCCATCGCGCCACCATCGGGCCGCCGCAGCGCGAAGGCCTGTTCGCCTACCAGCCTGGCCGCGGCAGGGTGGTGGACCCTAGCGGTGAGTACCGGTACCTCTGCGACACGCACTGGCAGAAGCACTGTTCGGAATCACAAATGTGTAAAGGCTGACTTTAAGCAGCCACTGTGTCCAATCCAAGGCGGGAAATGGTACTCCCCCAACGGTTGGGTGGTCTTAAAGACCTGTATGGCCTTTAGGTGGTCTCTGGCCACGCCATACATCCGGAGCGCGATTTCCCGTCTAAGTTTGGGAGCGGTATTGCCGCGAAGTTGGCCAAAACGCTGACAAAGCGGACCGACTCGTGCCACCAATTTGGTGGTGCTTGTCGCGGCCGCCGCCTGGCGGCACTGGCGCGTCGGGTCTTGTGAGCCAATCAGTGAATGACACTGCCACTGCCTTTGCTTGTTTTGCTTCCAGGGTGGCCTTGCCAGATGGGCTCCTCCTGGCTGGAGGAGGGCGGCTGTGTGCGCTGCATCTGCGCCAACAAGATGATCAAGTGCCGGGACTCGGGCATGTGCCTCAACGGCGAGGTGGGTGCTTCCGTTTCATTCCCATTTGCTGTCGGGAAGGAAGCGATAAGTGACCGGCGACGCACCTCACTGATTTCATGTCCTTTCCGCAGCCCGTGTCGAACGAGTTGATGCCGCCCCAGACCGAGTACGTCCGCCGACGCCGAGAAGACGCCTCGGCCGCGGCGGCCACTCCGGCACCACCCGCCGCGCCCGTCGCTGAGCCCGCCGTCGAACCCACCGCCGCGCTGGCGGAGTCCACCACGTCCACGGCCTGGGTCGCCACGGAGCCGGCTGCGGCCACCACCGCGGCGGCCGGGGTCGCCGAGGTCGCGGAGTCGACTGTTGCACCTGCGGGCGCGGAGGGCGCGGAGCAGGCCGCGGTGACGCCCGCGGCCGAGGCAGCCAACGCGACGCGGTCCACCGTCGCGCCCCCCGCCACCACCACGGCGCAGAACACAGGTACGGTCGCAGTGCGCTGAGACCATCTTGATAATCAGCTTCCAGGGAGTCCGCGGAAGTCAAATTCACGGATTGTTCGTGTGTGTTTGCTTGTTTGCAGTGGTGAAGGACAGGTCGTGCCGCTCGGGGTCGACGTGGGAGGAGGACTGCAACTCGTGCTGGTGCCTGGACAACGGCAGGGCGGCGTGCACCACCAACTCCTGCGAGCCGCCGCCGCCACTGACGCTGGGCGCTCCCGGCTCCCATGCTGCGACCATCGCCGGGGGTCCTGGCGGTCCCGGAGCCGCCCCTGCGATCGCTGTTCCTGGTGCTGCCGCCCCTGCCGCCGCCGTCCCTGCGGCCGGGGCCCCTGCCTCCGGGGTCGCCCCGGCCGCCGCCCCCGCCCCCGCCGCCGGGGCGGTCCAAGCCACGGTCCCCAGCTCGACGCCGTCCTCAGCGGCTGTCACCGCCGCGGTCCCCATCGCGGAGCCCGCCGCGGCGCCGGCTGGAGGTGCCGTCGTGGGGGGCAGTGGCAGCAGTACGAGCAGTGCCGCGGGCAGCAGGAGGAAGAGGAGGGTGGTGTTGTTGGGCGCGTGACGGCGTGGCTAAAGGCGCGCCCAACGCCGGAACGACGTCGGGGCGGCGTCCACAAGGACCGCGTCCACCAGGACCGCGTCCACCAGGACCGCGTGCACCAGGACCGCGTGCACCAGGACCGCGTCGTCGCGACGTCGCCCCGCCGAAGCACTCCCTGCAGTGCGCCCCACGCCCTCGGCCCACGCGCCTCAACGCGCGCCCTTTCGACCGGGCCCTCTCCGGCTCCGGTCGAGTCGGAGCAGTCCGTCCGGAAATGCCCCTCGCTGCGCGCTGCGAGACCTGACAGAGACAGTGAGACCCGCAGAGGCCGCACACGGGGCTTGTTGTAAGATAGAGTATTGTATATAAATTATTTATGTTAATGGTAAGCGAAAAAAAATAAAGATCGTTAAGCTGGTCTGTTTTCTTGTGACTGTACGTGCGTTCATGCTTATTCGCACAACGGCGGCAGCCTGGGTCGTGGAAGGTCCTGGATCCTTGGGACCGCCGCCGACCCACTGACTGTGCCTGCCACTCCGCGACTCGGCCACGCGGCCAACAGGTGTGTCCGTCCGCGGCCCAGCGCAGCCTGGCTCAGCCTCGCCTAGCCACCGCCCGCCACTAAGGCGCAGCACTGCACAAAGCCGCTGTGGGTCCCGTTGAGGTCATCAGCGTGCAAAGCCAAATGCATGCGCCACTGCAAGCGAGCCGGGGCCGAGCCGTGCCGAGCAGAGCCGAGCCCATGCCATGCCAGAGCGCGGGAGGAGCAGCCATGAGGTGTGCCCCTCGGACGTGGATGGCCATTCGCAGCGTGGCGGATAGGAAAGGGGGGGGGGGGGGGTCGCTCGCGGGCAGACGACATGTGGCGCGGAGCGTGGCGGAGCGGACCATTACCGCGAACTGCACTGCACTGGGCGCACTGGGACTGGGGGCGCCCCTCAGCCACTCCAGCCAGTGCACTGCAGGCGGGGCGGGTGGGCGCCAGGGCACTACTGGACGCGTCGCACGTTGATCGAGAGGATGCCTGCCAACACACACAGATACATTCTCTCTCACTCCCTCACACTCACACGTGCGGGCACTAACACACCAACACAAACCGTGGCATCTGGTGCTGCTGAGATAGGCTAGACCCGCGAAGGCCGTTGTGGGCGCGTCGTCGCCTTGTGTGTGTGTGTGTGCCTCTTCCGATATTTCCACGCCTGTGTGTCTCCTGTTTAAAGGTCAAGGACAAAGACAGCGTGCACTGGAATTTTTAATTTTTCGAAGGGATAACAGAGCAAAACTAAGGTTGTGGTCGGATCAGTGCAATCGATGCCACTTTGCTATGACGCGCTGCTTGCGCTCAGATGAGGTTCTCCGCAGTGAGGTCCTTGGCGGCGTCCTCGTCGAGGTCCTTGACGGCGTCCTCGTCGAAGTCCCCGGCGGCGCGCTGGGCAGGGTCCTCACTCGCGCCGTCCCTGGGGAAAAGGTCATGTCCTGCGGGGACGCGCCAGGACATCCTGGTGGGGCTGCCGTCGGGGACCTCCTCCTCGCGGTGGTCCAGACGGGCAACACCGCGAAGGGGCGATTTCACGTCTCCTAGTACTTTGACGATCTCTCTGAAGCTGAGGTACGCAGCGGGCGGGGCGAAATTTTCGATCTGTTCCGCGGCAAAAGGAAAGGTTTTGTCGGGGACGCCGCGGACGAGCTCGGATGACTTCTCGACGAGGTTCTCGGTGGTTTCTTCAGCGGGGAGCTCGTTGGCCACGTCCCTGGAAAGGTCCTTGGCGACGTCCTCGACTGGCTCCTCGGCAGCGAGGTCATCAAGGAACGACACCTTGATGAAGTCCTCGGCGCGGTCCTTGGCGACGCCCAGGTCGACGCTTCGCGGGAAGTACTCCTCGGCGGGGACGACGACGGGCTCCTGCTCTTCGTGGAAGAGTGAGAAGGACAACGGGTTGTCGTCGGCATCCTCGTCCCGGGCGGCGACGCCGCGATACCACGCCTTGGAGCCCACGCTGCTGCCGCGGTACACGGGCACGCTGCGCTCCGCCGCACCCCAGGGCGTGCTGGGCGTCAGGACGTCCTCGGACTCCGCGTCGTCCACCGAAGTCATCAGGTCCAGGCGGTCCAGGTCGGCTAACGAGAGCAAGGCGTTACTTTACTTGTCGCTCAGGGGCCGCAGGAAATTGCTTACTCTAAATTTTGGACCTACCTCCCAGAGGTTCAAGGGGCACCATAACGAAAGGGAGTTCGTCGGACTCGCTCAGAAAGCAGGGAGCCCGCACATTGTTCCTTTTGAATGCTCTCAGAAAAGCGGCGTCCTTACACAGGGGTGGGCGGTTTCGGATCAGGCCTGCGCAATGGAGGACGGAAAAGTCATCAGTCACCCTCGAGGACCTGGCAAACGACATCGATCATTCCGCAAGTTTGGTAACTCGCGGTTCGCGGTTAACCCTACACCGACCTTCAAACGAGCCGACAGCCGCTGGCGCTGCTTCGGAGACGGTGGCCAGCGCGACGGCGGTGGCCGCCACGGCGAGGAGGGTCACCGTGGCGCCGGGGCGTGAAAACGGCATCCTGGGGCACGCTCTCTGGGACAGGACACCGCCGCACTTGATTGCGGCCTGCGCGCTGCGCGTCCACAAACTGCGTGTTTGTCTCACTGAGGTCCCGCCCGGCCCAGAGACGCCGGCGATCAAGCCTTTATCAAAGCTGCGCGTCTTGTTGTTTTTTCGGTTGCTTTTGCAAGCTGGCTCGCATGCTCCGCGAATGTGGGAAGGCGGCTGCAGAAGCGGAAATGTAGGCACTGCACGGCCGAGGCACGGCGGCTGCAGCGGCCTGGCTGATCCACCGTATCGGACCAACACGGATGGGGTTATCAAATGAAATTTCGACCTCGACACTGTCAACACGTGCGCTTTATTGATTCCACGACGCGACACTGGCGGTCCAGCTAGCTGTCCAGCTGGTTGATGATGTCGCTGATCTGAAGGTCCTGCAGCTTCTCGTCCAGGCTGTCGTTGACGTACTTCTCCAGCACGGGGGTCCAGTCCTCGATGAGGCGAGGCGCCAGGGACTTGACCACGTCGGCGAGCACCAGCGCCAGGCCGGTGTTCTGATTGAACGTGCCCGTCGACCGCCCCGGCAGGATCTCCAGCTGCAACGGAAACGGGGCGTCCTCCGGTCAGGAACCAGCGGACTGGCCGGGAGCGCCTGGCGCCTGCGAGGTAGGCAGTGGCCGCCACTGCGCCGCACCGCAGTGCGACGGGCTGCCTACCCGCCGTCCGGACGGCGCTCTGCGCTGCGATACGCTGCGGCAGTCAGGGACCACTCCGTCGCCGGCGTTGCCCGTTGGGCTGCCTACGCCCCGGTTGGTAGGCGCAGTGCAGCGCAGAGCCACCGCGCCGGCCGCCGGTGTACCTAGGGCTAGGGCACCTAGGGGTACAGCCATCGCGCGATGCACTTCTGGCTCCTGGTGGGTGCGCCTGCCTGCAGCCCAAGGCTCAAGGCGCGGCGCGAGGGCAACGCGAAGTACTCACGCTCCACTTTCCGAGGTCCAGCGCGATCTTGGTCGACTCCATCGAGAGCCTGCTGTCCTGCACCGCGACCTTGCCGCGCAGCCCGAGAGTGATTTCGGGCGAGCTGAACCTGAAGCACGGACACACGGAGATTCACGTGCTGTATGTGACTGCAGCCGCCCCGAGCGGCCCGCATTTTGAATTTGAGTTAGAGTTTGGAGCTTACTTGACGGTGATATCGTCGTTGAACGGCACCTTGAGCGGGCTGAGCCAGCTGCCTGCCGCCACGGCCAGGTTGAACCCGATGGAGAAATTGGGCAGCTTGATGTCCAGCACGCCCAGCCGCTCCACCAGGTATACGCTCAGGTTGTCCACCTTGAACTTGGACACGCCCTGCGAGGACACGCTGTGCAGGTTGGCGTTGATGCTGCGGGAGGGAGAGAGAGAGAGTGTGCACACGAGGTTGAGGGGCACGGTGCCTTTAGAGGCGCAAGACAGAGACGACCTACTTGGCCATCGGGTTGTTCACCACGAGGGGCTTGTCCGGCGTGTAGTCGAAGGGGTCCAGGGCGGGCAGGCCCAGGTCGGGCTGCGGCTTCGACAGCTTGTCCCGGAAGGACAAGATCTTGTTGATAAGCATCCTCTCCAGCTTGGTGTGCTCGTCGTCGTCATCGCGGAGGTTCACTGGAAGCATGAGGCGTGAGGTGCTGCGGGAGGCGGCTCGCTGTTCGAGGCCAGGCCGAGGCCGCCCCATCGACGGCGTCCTTACTCAGTTGGAAGAGGCGCACCAGCGGCACGTGCGGCTTGGCGTCCAGCGGCACATGGGGCTCGACGTCCACCGGCAGCAAGTCAACGCGCCGCTTCTCAAATGTACTTGACAGCAAAACCATGTTGTTGGGGCGCAAGAACATTCAACATGGCTTTGAAGGCAGGCTGTTTTTAATTCAGGCTTACCGGACGCCGCCGTCGATGTGCGCGACGGCCGCCGCGACGGCCAGGGCGAGCAGCGCGACGCAGACGACGCCGGCGGAGGCCATGATGGCCGTGACTTCGGTAGGCTGGCGACTCAACTGGCAATGCTGTGCGCCACCGTGCCACAGGTGCGCGATGCATCCACTGTTCGTTATCAGTGCCGAGATTACTCACTCAGCAGCGATCACAGGTGAGTGTCCGGCCGTCCGGCCGCCACGCCTTGGCGAGCCTCGCCGCACTTTGGCCTGCTGACCAAACAACCTGAAACGCCATCTCGTCGCGGGGGTGGGCAGGGGTGGCGGGGCAAAATCAAAAGACCGTCACTTTAAGTACAGTTTTATCCTTTATTAAATTGGTTTGGTTTCTTTTTCTCACGGTTTTCTACATTTTTTACTTTACAGTCATTTGCAATAGCTGCATTTTGTTTTAAAGAAATTTTAAAGAAAAGTGTATCATTTGCCATCACCTCCCGATTTACATAGAAGAAGAGACACAGTTTCGAAGACCACTTCCTTCACTTGACGATTTAATTCTGAAAACTATCAAAGAATAGACGACAGACGACGTTTAAGAAGTATGGTGGGGTCATTTATTTACAAAATTATGTCAACCAAATAATAATGTTTTAGTTTTTGATCTGTAAATGTACAAAACATAACACGTAAGTCCAGACCTGTCCTGCTGGTCCCACCACACCGAGAAGAAAATATACATATACAGTGTTTCTGGTTGCATTTTGAGGAATAGCTCATTTAGGTCGTTGGGCACTTTTATTTCTATTGATCCCAAATAAAGATATAACACCAAACAGACTTTTCCCATCCCTTGAGAATAACACGTAGGCCTTTAAAAGGTTTGTGAGTTAAACATGTTACTTAGTTGTTTCGTTAGGTTATTTATAGATAATATTTATTTTTTAAATTCTTTAAGGCAGCAATGTTTTGTTTGTTTTGTTAGCGAGGCAAGGATGTGCCTAGTAGTACATGCGACACAATGCTAATAACAGTTTTACACATTTCAATCTTCCTTGTCTACGATTATACTATAATAGGATAGCGTGACCCCTATATCTCTACCTTCCTTCGGTGGAATTCATTCAGAAACTGTTCAACACAAAACTGCATAGAGCGACGCTCCGAGAGGCAAACAAAGAAAGCTGCCAAGAAACTTGAATTGCAGCGACACTAGAAATACGACTAGGAAGTAATAAGGCCCCGAAACTAGATAGACAAGCAGACGACGCCGCCCGACGCGAAGCAGGAAACTGAACAGAACTGAAATCCCCGGACGGGGGCTTAACATTTACTTTAATTGACGAAATGGAAATAGAACCCAGGCGGACCGTGGCAAGCTGCTGCCTCAGAATCGACTCCGGCCGCAGCCCGCGGATATACCCCGCGCTGCACACCTGTTACGCGCCCCGGCGATACTCCGCGCGACGCACCTGCCGAGCGCGGGGGGAGGGGGGAGGGGGAAGGGGCAGGCCCATTCCAGCCACACTCCCCCGATTCGCTCGCCTTGCTCGGAGTCGCAGGGGCTTGACTTCTACGCGGCAAATAGGGCCCCACCAGGAAAAGATACAGTTACAAAGACAAACACACGCACATAGACAGTAAAAACTTGAGCAGGGCTTCGTTAGATCTGAGAAGGGCCTAATTTTAAGAGTAGTAAGTCGACAATCGATGTGCTTAAAGTACGCTACTTTCCTAATTTAGAGTGCTCGCCATGCTTTCGACGTGTAGTCCTATTTTGATTTCAGTCCATTTAAATTTTAGTTTGGTAAGGCCTATGTTTTGGTATAGATACGTCCTAGAAGAAGAGACAACTATGTATCTTATAAATTATTTACGCTCAACTAAATCAGATTTAACACGCGTTTTAAGAGAGAAGTGTTATCAAAAAATAAAGGTAGACGATAGAGAGTTGAATCTGGAAGATAAAAAGCCCCGGTCAAATTTATGATTTCTCTCTAACTGGATGACCCCCTAAATAATTAAACAACAAGCGAACATCATGTTAGGCCTATTTTCTTCAACTTGTGTGCGGCATAAAAGTTAATTAGTACTTACATCGACAGTTTATGGTACTCTCTACGGACATAAAACGCAACTGGCTTAAGTCAATAAGCTACTATGAACGCTTCCCCACTGTAAGATCCAGCTGCTTAATGTGGTTTACCAGCCGTGAGGAATCAATGAATTGAAAATTGCCCGTGTGATGGGAACTGGAACTAAAGTGAGGGAGCGCTGCTGGGCTTATTTGGACCAGAGCCCCGCAGCTGAGAGGTGGTGCCGGAGCGAGGGGCCGAGGGGCGAAGGAGTGATGGTCCGGGACGTAGACGCAGTGACGCGGTGACGCCGAGGAATTTCTCATAAGGGTCGTGGCGGACCGTGCGCGGGGTTGGCATGCAAAAGGCTGGGCGGCCGCATCCGTGGGGGCCGACTGGGGTGGGCCTGCCTGTGTCGATGTCCTTGCGGTGTGCCTCGAGGGCCTGCACTGGAGGCCCTATTGCACGTGCAGCGGGCGGAGGGACGCGACGACGGCGTGGTTGGCCTTCCAGCGGCGCGGCACCACCCAGGACGACCGGTCGGCGCGACACACCTTGCCGCGGGGGCGGCTGAGGGCGCGCGGCACGCTGGGCGGCACGCCGGCCAGCGACATGACGGGGACGGCCACCACGCTGCACGCGGGCACGCCGACGGCGGCGGGCTGTGGCGGCAGGGCGGCGGGCCGCGGCTTCAGGAAGAGGTGTGCGACGATGCCCCTGACGGCAAGCCTGACGGCGTCCTTGAGGTCGGCCAGCAGGTCCGCCAGCGCGGCGCCCGCGCCCGCGGCAGCGCCCACCGACAGGAGCTGCGACAGGACGCGGGGCGCGCGGGACCACCGCGGCCAGCGGGAGCGGAAGTGGCCGGCCGAGGGGGAAGTCCCGGGGCGCGGGCCCAGCGGGCCGCCCTTGGGGTGCAGGTGGCCCCTGCAAGCAACGCAAGCAAACAGCACCGTCACAGTCGTCGAACGGAAAGGACTCAACGGCCTGATGGATGGTGGCCTCCATGGCCTCCACGCCGCTCGGGACTCGGCACGCCCGCACTCCATCACCACGATGCAGGCCGCGCCCGCCCGCGACCCCCGCCTCCTCGCTGCACCAAACTTTGGGAAGTCGCGACCAAGTGGACGCGACGCGACGCCGGGGCCGGGACCATAACAAGCTCATTAGGATTTTGTTGGCCGCCCCGCCACGCCGTTAGCCCGCTTCAGTGACTGAGGCGCGCTCGGCCTGCTTAACCAAGTCCCGCGTAAACAAAGTGCCCAGCAGACTAATTTAAAACTCAATCAAGATTCGTTTTCATCCCGCTCCGACTCGTCGCAGACCCTCTTACCTGAGCAGCGCGGCCAGCAAGGACGGTCCGCGCCTCCTCCTGTGCCACGGCCACGGCGGCCTCGGCCGCGTCCTGGCCGTCCTGGCGCGCGAGCAGGCCGCCCTGGCCGCCCGGGCCGCCCTGGCCGCGGGGCTGCTGGTGCTGCAGGGCGGGCCGTGGGGGCCTCCCTGCGGCAGGGTGCCATTGCTGAGGCCGGCGCCGTGTGGTGCGGGGCCGTGGGGGCCGTGGGGGCCGAGGGCCCCGTGCGCGGCGGTGTGGTGCGGGCCCCAGGCCTGGGCCCACGGGGCGGCCCACGGTGTGGTCCACGGGGTGGTCCACGGGGTGGTCCAGGGCAGGGACAGGGGCAGGGGCGCCACGGCCCGCGACTTCTGCTACGCGGGGAGAATGATCTCGGGCTCCGGCGACCAGCAGTTGTCCGACAGCCAGCAGCCGATCACCACCGTCACCAGGCCGATGAGCAGGGCGAACACGATGTACAGCTCGGCGTTGCCTGCGGCAGGGGAGGAAAGTCATTGGCGCGGTGGCGTCAATACGCACGGCCCGCTCCTTGACGGCCCGACCCCTTGACGGCGTGCTTACCCAGCGGCGTGACGCTCTTCCACAGCGAGTTGCTCCGGGTGGGGTCCTCCTTGCGCCAGTCTCTCCAGCCACGGTTGCGGTGCTTGCCCGAGGTGGTGATGGTGTTGGTGCCGTTGCTGGCCGGGCCCGGCGTGGACGGCGACCCGGCCTGAGGCTGGCCCTGCGGACTGCCCAGCCCTGCAACACACCAGGACGACGTCGACGTCAACGCGGCGTGCCGGAGCACAATTTAAAAAGTTTACTGAGCTTTCCTAAACTAAAGAAATTCCTTCATTGCAAACTCGGTCGGGCCTGCGCAACCGTTTGGTCGCCTACGGTCACTAATCCAGGCGATCCAGTTCAGTGTTTTGTTTTCGTTTTGTCTTTCCAAGTCCCAGTGCTCGTTTGGGAGGCGTTCCCAGTCACAGCCTCTGCCGCTGGCTCTGCCGCCCCGCCGGCTCACTCCGCCCCGCCACGCTGAGAAATTAATGACGCCCTCGCCTCGGCCCCGTAATCATGCATTCACCAGAAGGCTCTCCTCGCATCCTCATCCTGGCGGCCGTGGTAATAATTATCACTTTCGCGACGACGGCGATGCCTGGCGATGCCCCTGTTTGGTGTGAGCCCATGCCTGCGCCCCGGTGGGGGCCCTGTGTGCGAGCGCGAATGTGCACACAGTGGGCGGATGCAGCAGAGGTGTTTGCGCATGTTAGTGGAGCGTGCGCGCGGTTGCCCCGTGGCCAACGTGCTCGCTGCGCTGCGCTGGTGTACGCGTCCAGGTCCGCGCTGCGCGGCGTGGGCGGGGTGCATTCACTGCGCGCTCTGCTGCGGGTCACGTGGCGCGCGGATCCGCGAGAGAGAGCAGAGTCAAACAGCGGAGCCAGAGATCAAAGGGACTTCCCCGCGGCGTCGGCTCCCCTCCCCACCCCACCCCTCGGCTACGCTCTTTGCGCTCTTTGCCCTCTCTGGCCGTGGGGCAAAGCACCGGGCCCACACCAAAACACCAAAACGAACAAAATGATAAGAATTGCGCTGGCCTGGCGGGGGGCTGCCAGGGCGGGGACGCGCGCGTGGCTCTTGTCGTTCCCTCTTTATTTTGACAGCGCCGCTCGCACCGCCGCGTCCTCGCCGGCAGCCCCGCTGTGCTACGTTGTGCCCCGGAAGGAGGCTGCCAGCCCTGGCGGGGCCGGCGGGGCTGAGACTCATATCTGCTCCGCGGCCCGCGGCCCGCGCCCCGCCCGGGCAGGCAGCCTCCCGACGGGGCAATAATGCAGCCAACAAAGTGGCCGACTGTCTCGCCGGATCGTCCGGGCCCCAGCACAGCCCCCGCACGGCCCCATCGCAGCCCAGTCCTCGGTCCTCGAGTGCTTTGACAACGCGGCGGCCCTCCAGTCGCCGTGCCGAGGGGCGCCGCGCAGGGCGCGGAAAGGGCTCCGACCCCTGACCAGCCCTCGCGTTTTTCCTGCCCCCTAAGCGCTCTCGAAAGGGCTTTCGCCGGCCCTTCACCGCCTCCGCCACGGACCTCCACCTGGCCTGGAAGGGCTCTCCGGGGCCCTGCATGGCGGCGGCGGGGCCGGGCCCGGGCCCTAATGCGTCAAGATGGGCCCTCGTGAGCCCTCCGCCGGGCCAGCCCTCCTGCTGCACGGCCCGCACGCCGCACGCCGCGGACAGCGTGTCACGCGATCAATAGCCCTGCGCCGCCCTACGCGGGGCAGGGCAACGACAGGTGAGGCTGGATGGGTCGTGGCAATGGACCTCGCGGCCGCACACAAAGATTGGACACATCATCACTCGCGCCGCACCGCGCCATCCCCCCCACCTCCTCCTTGAAGCTTCAAGCGGCGCTGGAGCAAGAAAAAAGGAAAAAGTGAGGTCTGGCCGACGCGGTGGAAAGCGCGCGGGCGAGACGGGAAATGGAATAAGTAGAGGAGGCAGAGGGCGGAGGCGGGACGCCGCCGTCTGTTCCAACGGATCTCCGCGCTGCCTGCCCCGCACGCCCTGGCCGCCCTGGCCGCCAAACCGTAAGCAAATTCGTTGATGCCCAGAAGGAGTTGGGTCAGAGAGGGCGGGAGGGGGGCGGGGGGAATGCTTTTGCGGCAAAAGGCCCGGGCGCCTGGATGGCCTGGATGGTCTGGAGGAGCACGTCGAGGGCCTGCGCGTGATTAGCTGGTGACGGCCCGGCGTGCCAGACCAGCCGGACGTCCGCCAAGTCCACGAAGTACGTGACGCGCGCGCGGAGGGCGGGGTGGCGGACTCGACTCGAGCCGGCCGAACCCCGCCGCAAGAATGCGGCGCGACGTCCGATACGCTGCCGGCAGCCTGATTCTCATTGCGAGCCGTGCTTGCGCGCTTGCGCCGACCTCTCCCTCGCACTCGACGGGCCCCGTCGGGCTGCAAGGGAGACCGAAGGGAGACAGCGACGAAAGCACGGTTCGGAATCAGCCTGCAGGTAAAGGCCGCGCATTCCGACAGGCGCGGGCTTTGTCCGGCACTATGCCCAAATACCGTGGGCACACTGGGCGGACCTCTCTGAGGCGAGGGTGGCCACGGCGTCCGTCGCGGCGTCCATCCTGGTCCTGGTGGTGGCCAGCAGCACGGCCTCCTTGGCGCTGGCCAGCGTGCGCGCCAAGTCTGCAGCCAATGGCGGCGGTTGCACGGCCCCGGCATGCCGATCGCCCATCATCCGGATCAAGCCGAACAAAAAACCGGCGCCCAGAAAAAACGACGTGAGTTTGGCGCGCGGCTCTGCAAACGCTCGAATGCCGCTCTAGTTCTGCCGCAGCGGGTAATTTGTTCCCGAATGGAGGCATTTTTCTCCTCCTTCCGCCCCATGTGCGAGCTGAGGGCACCGCGCAGCACCGCGCAGCACTGCGGCGCTGCCTGATCGGGCCATCCAGGAGTCGTCGGGCAGCTGACTGATTCATCTGAGTGTCGTCTGTCTCTCTCGCACTCATGAGGCGCCTCGTGCAGGTGCGAGAGAGACAGAGCGACAAGGCGACTCCCGGAATCGGTCTGCAGGGCAGCGAGGGCCCTGTGGCGACAGGCAGGGCAGGCGGGGTAAGGCGGAGCGGGGCCTAGTCTAGTGTCGCGGAGTGCCCGGGCAGGTGGCGGCCGTGCTTCTGATTTATAGAGGGCTGCAGCACTAACCGACAGGGACGGCCAGGAGAGAGGGCGAGAGGGCGAGACCACCCCGACTTCCCGCTGCAGAGGAACAGGGGAGAGAGAAAGAGAGGGCACTTCATTCTCTGCCGAACAGTGCCTGGGGAGCGTGGGCAAGGCTGGGGGAAACCCTGGGGAAGCAAACTCGAGGTGATCAGTCTAAGTACGTCCAGTTGGTGATCAGTGCAATCCACATTATCAAAATTTAAAAAAAAATATTTGTGGGCCTCAAAATTGTGTTTTGGCCTGGCTCCGGGCGCTCCGGGCGCCCGAAGCCCGAAGCTTCCGAACTCTCGTTCCAGAGCGGGCGGGTCTTCTCTAGGCATTCCCTTTCGATCGTTGTAGTACTACGCCCTGCCCTCCGAGGAGCGGGTCGGGCGCGGCTAGGGCGCGGTGGCGATGCCGTTCGAACGCGACGTGGTGCTATAAAAAGGTAAGCACGCGGCCCGAACATTCTCAACACTTCCTCCACCCCGCTGTCCACTTGTGGACTCGCCTTTCCGTCTGTCCGTCTATCTGTCCGTTTGTCTGTCTGTCTGTCCGTCTGCCCGTCCTTCCACTTCCACTTACGCACCGTTCCGAACTTGTAATTCCCGCCAACGACGCTCGGGGGCGCGCCGCGTGTCGCCTCTGGCAGCTGGCCCGCGTGGACACTGCTGGACTGCCTGTGGATGCCGCTGGCACGGCCCGCGGCCGCGCACCAGCGCCTGTGACGACACCTGTGGACCACCTGTAGACCCGCTGTAGGACCCGCTGTGAGGACCACGCTGTGGGGACCCGTTGGGAGCCACGGCATGTGGGCCACGCTGTGAGGACCACGCTGTGAGGACCTCGCTGTGAGGACCACGCTGTGAGGACCACGCTGTGGGGACCGTACTGGACGGGCCGCGCCGCCGCAGCCCTCGTGGTCTGGAGTAGTTTGGTGGAGAGGGTCTGTTGACTGTGATGCACGTCCACCTCCCTAGCGCGGCGAGCGTGCCGAGCCCGTGGACTCGATTGAGACACCGGAGAGGTCGCAGGCAAACGCGCCCCTCCCCCCCCCCGGACGATTGACTCGGTTCCCGGCGTGCATGAAGGAAGGCTCGTGCCGATAAGGGAATGTCCGAGACGTGCGCCTGCTGCCTGCTTTTTGCCGCCGCACCCCCATATCTCTTGAGCGTGGTGGCTCGCTTCTTGTGCGCGGGGATCGAGGATCACACGCCCTGCGATCGAGTCCTGCGGGCGTGGGGGGGGGGGGGGCGTGAGGGGCAGACTGCAGGCTTCTCGAATCGTTCCATGGGCCGTGCTGGCTTCTAAATGCCCCCCGAGCTGTAACGGTGCATAATGGATTGCCGGTCAGTCCTTCGCGTCCTTGTCCGTCCGTCTAGGTGTCTGTCAATCTGTCCCGTACGTCCGCGTGTCTGCCTGCCCGGCCTGCCCGGCACTTCGGCGGCCTTGGGGCCTTCCGGCTGCCAAGCACTGCGCCGCCGGGGCTCCGCCTCTCGCTCCGCGCTCCGCGACGCCATCGAGGACGTGATGTCTTCCTCGAGGCGTGATAGCATAGCGCGCCATCCTTCTCCTTCTCCGGGCCGATTTATAGTCGGAACCTCTGCGTCACTCTGCCGGCGCGCCGAGCCTGGTGCTGGTGGCGTGGCGCGGGACGGGCTCTGTCGCGGTTCCTATCGAGGTGCGCCGTGCGCTGTGCGCTCCGCCGACTGCATGGGGTGGATCGCAGTGGATCACCACCACAGTCTGGCGGAGCCGCCACAGCCACGGGGGAATTAGGGGAGCAACTTTTCTCCATCCCCTCCCCCTCCCGTCGGGGGACTGCGTGGGAGTGGCCCAACTCGCGCGACCCGCCGGCCGAGTTGGGGCGGTGCAGGGCGGCGCAGGGCGGCGCCGTGTCGAAGGCGAGCCAAGTCGACACTGTCGAGACTGTCGGGTAGAGTCTGGGCGAGGCGCGCCACGGCGTATCGGTTCGCTGTTGTTCTCACCCACGCGATGAGTGCCATGCCGCGCGACGCCGCCGACAAGCCGAGGCCAACTTAACTTGCGCGCAG